ATTTGATGTTTTTTTTTCTGTAGTCATTGGCGACCTTATAGAGACCATCAACTCATTACATTTTAGAACCCGGTTAAATCACAATTCACACTTGATTTTGGGTGAGGCCACGTAATGGTCTGGACAAATTAGTGTCATAAAGACCCTCCACCACCCAACATAGCTAAACAAATTACATTGTCACGTGCACAAGCATTTGATGCCACAATTTTTATTTTTGCTCACCAGTAAGTTGAATTCTCACAACCGAATTTAGCAATTAGATCCCAAGATTTCAGCAGTGCCAGCTCAGCGTGCTAAACCCTGAATTGAGCCACCTGGCCACCTCCATGGAGCAATTTTTGTTTTTGCAGTTGCTTAACTACAGTTGATCATCAATAATCCGGCTTCCAACATTATCCAGCGGTAAAACCGCTCCAAATGCTGTAACCAGTCCAGCGTTTGGCACCATGTGCGTGACAAAAAAAAGTAGCTATGCTTGATTTCAGTATTACATGTATAATGTCTCTCGGAGAACACGAACTGTAGACGGTTGCTTTATTTATTATTTAGCGCGGTTCATGCAGATAACTTGGCCAGGGATGGCACGCAAGTGGCGATGATGCGAAGGCAGCGACGACAGGAAGACAGCAATGACAACGACAACGCAAAGACAGCAACGGCCCGCAGTCGACCCCGATCGCACGACAGCCCCGAACCTTGCCTCTCGCTTCCTTTTATCCCCGGCGTGGCCCTCACTCCGCCCCCGGGCCACGCCCCCTTTCTCAAACTATCTGGCCCGTTCCCGAACTTCCCAGATGGTTCCCCCCTTGTCACAACTCGCCCTCTATTAACATCAACCCCTGTAATTACTACTCGTGACCGCTAGGCCACGCACTGTCCCTGCACCCGCACTGTCTACACATCACACATGCACTGTCTCTACACATGTATACAGCACATTATACACTACATACAACGTAAACAATGAAAATACTGCACTATACACATCACCCCATGCAGAGTCGTCGAAATTGGAGTGGTAAATACGGTACAGTAATTGCAGTAACTTTTTATTACAGGATATTTATTTTTATCTATTTGTGTGTTCATTTATGGCAACTTCATATGGTAGACAAATTTAAAAGACAAAAAAAATCACATAACAACACCTCCTCCCGAAGCCGCCGGATAATCGATGACCTGCTGTAGCAATTTTACTAGAGCGTTATTTTCTATCTCACGTAGAGTAACTGATGTACAGTACCACGAGTGTAGCCCATCGAATCATATTTTCGCACCTCCGATTCGCTTGGTTGGCCACGTACGGTGCGAAAGAAGTTCAAAATGCACACATTGCACGTACAGCCAATCTCAACTCAACAATATAGCAAGCCGAGTCTGCGAATTGTGTATGACCTCTACTGGATAGTATGTGATACAAACAAACCCCGCCTTGACAATGTAATCAAATTAATGTGTTTTTATGCAGCTTAAGGTGTGCACGTACGCACGTGTGTTCTGAGAGTGAATAGCTACTCGGACTATAACACATAGGGGGACACATCGAATGCGTGCGCTGAGAGGCATTGCGAAATAAGAACTCCGTGGATCTCTCAGAGACGCCCTACTGCGTTGCACAACATCAACAAACACAGCTGCTGCCACTGCTGTTGTCGTCTCACCGTTCCCCGAGGCCATGGCACGCGCTTTGCTGCGTAAATCCGCTAAGAAGCACAATCGACTGTTTGCAACAACAAAAAAGCTTAACCTGCAATCATGCACTTACTCAGGCTGGACACGAAGATTTGTTTCGGATGGGCTAATCTCATGAAAGAAGCTTTCAAGCCAGAAGCTTTGTCAACCCAGATATATATAGCCCAGTCGGCACTAAATACGAACCATCCGTTGTTTGTAATACTAGCTACATGTAAGGCTGTATTGTGGGAAATTATACATTCATTTTGTTTTGCTGGATTAAAAAAAACTGCTTCCTCTTACACAATCGCTTCGTATTCCCGACACTGAGAACACAATTTTTACTATCTGCTTGCAGCCTCTGCCACGTGCAATCCAAGCAAAATATTATGCAACGACAAATACTACACGTTTCACGTATTAACCCTCATGTAATCAGACTGAATTAAGTATAAACACGTAAATAACTCCCACCTCACCAAGCCATTCAGAGTATCGCCAACACCTCCCTGCATGTCTGAACAAACAACCCAAACAATTACCTGGTTGATATGCAGCCTAACATACTTTCTCAAGTAATTAACAGCACCTGGAGCTGGTTTTTATACGTACTGAAGTAATACATACATGCGTGGTTAATGCATGTTACTGCGCACATGATAAAATATGTTTGTTTCGTTTGTTTGCTGCATTGAAATGTTGAACCATAAAATAACTAGTGAATAAAGTGTTACTGAAAAATTCATATATATGTATTTATACAGAAAACAACAAGCCACCTTGCGTCTTTCTGAAGGGTGAGCAAGACATTCTACGGTAATGGCCAACGACTGTTGTTGTTTTATTACCACTGACAGTGTCTGTTCATAAAACACTATTCAGAAGCGACACAGGTTTAATATTCACAATCACAGAGTTTATCCATAGATACAACAAATAAAAAGTAAGGATAGTGCTTATCTCCTCGTTTTTTTGCCCCGAGTTATCCGATGTAGATTCAAATTTCCCACTACAGTGGCCAGCTTCTGCACGGGGCAGACACTTTTGACACCATACAAAGTGGTACTGATTTTTGTTATCAACCCCGCAACAATGATGGGCTGGACAAACCCCTGAACTGGAATTGAAATTGCAGCCTTCCAATTAATTGCGTGCGGAGGACTCTGGAACACACCCACCCACCCACCCGGTATGATTTACAACGATGAACGTGCTAGACAGATACAAACATTTTCATACCAGCCTTCAAATGACGTATATTCAGCATGTAACCAGTAACAATAACTAACAACAGCATTGTATTACATCACGGCAGGATTCCAAAATGGACGTCTACACTTTTTTTGTAATATAAAAAATCACTGTAATATCATTTATTAAAAGTGTTTCCCCAGCTGGAATGTCAGAGAAGAAGGCACGTGAAATAACAATGAAGGTGTAGCGTAAATATTATCTCATGGAAAAATATGCCGCTAGTTATTTGTACGAGCAGATCCCTTGTAAAACGTGTTTTGTAATACGTTTTGAGACTAAACCAACAACATTTCGCATTTCCATCAGATTTTTGCAAATACAAATGTGGTGGTAGGTCCATTGGTTGTAATGATAACCCGAGTATGGAATTCTTGGTTTAAACTGATATATGCATTTGTAATTAATATGTATGAAATACGTGTGTGTAGATGTTTAGAGTGTGTATGCTAGGCATGTAATGATGAATTGATTAATCAGTTCTTCTTTAATTGAAATCGATTCATCTGTTCATTATACACGTATCGAATCATGCATGTGAAAATCGACTATTTACAACGCATGCAAAGTATATGTCAACACTACTGAGACTAATGAAGAGGATACAACTGTATACACCAGGTAGAAAGAACTAAATCAATACAAAATGGAATTGCAAAAAAGGAGACAAACATAAATCTATTCTTTAATAGAATTTTGGGCCGGATTAGTTAGTGAAAATTAATTGGGTCTCGGCGGAGAGGGGCGAATCAATACTTGCTTGATGTATGTACATGTGTGTGTGTATGCATCAGAGCACTCAAATATCGTGCCTTGGTATGACACTCGTGTACAATATTGGGAGGCTTCCTCACATTCTCACGCTGACACCATAGCTCGCACATTCCTGAGATGAAATTGCAGAAGGAACGACCGAATTTTATGTTTGCTTGCAATGCTGTGACAGCATCCTCTCTCGACCCCTACCCCTAAGCTGGTGGCAACAACTGACCAATTAAGTTTGCGAAACTATGATGGCATCACTCTTCCTCCTCGTTGTTTGTGTCATTTAAACTGGCAGTCACGTGGAGACAAGCCAATCTTTTTTGTCTCTTCCCACTGTTTGATCCAGATTGTCCTATCAACGTCACGAGATAAATAAGAATGCATTCAGAAATTTCGCATGGCAGGGCAGGGAGTCACACCACGTGAGAGAACAGTCAGCGGAAGGACGGACCACAGAACTGCTTCTGAAATGTATTAAAGTGACCTCGTATCCGCACAAGCAGGCAACACTTTTCCACCCGCCTTTCGACAGAGACAAATGTTCGTCGTATGACGGTGAGGTTGATATTTGTTTTATTATTACGACTGAAATCTAACCAAATTAAGTCTCAACTCGTGTATAAATCTTGATTTGAAGCTTTCGTGACTGCAGGAATCCATACTCTTTGGTTCTTTCGGTAAAGGCACGTAGGTATAAAGTTAATGGATTTATGATTTTTTTTTGCACAGCCATTGGAGACTGGACAGAGCCCATCAACTCGCTGCACTTCAAAACCGGGTTTAATCACGGGCATCTGGTCAAATTTTAACGCCCAGGATTCCAGCGGTGCCAGATTTTGCTCGGTCACCTCTATGCTACCCAGCCGTCTGTAAGGCTGGTAAATCTAATGCTCTCCCTCCACCCCCCGCTTGCCAATGTCATGCATTGACCATCTCCATACTTGACAGCTCTGGTGTATAAACTATAAACTAAACTTTTTTTTCTTTACCAGGTAAGGCCCACTGAGTTTTCTAGCTCTCTTTCAAAAGCGACCTGGCCACAAATGACAGCGCAACAAAGTGACTTATTACATGGACATTTATAGCAGCCAAATACTCTAAACTCATATTGATTCGAAATGTGGAGGGAAAAACCGGAGGACCCAGAGAAGAAATCCACGCGACCACAGGGAGAGAGACATGCAAACTCCAAATATACGGGTGTGACGGTCGGGATCGAACCCACGACCATCCTGCATACCAGGCGAGGTAGTTAACACCTCGCCTTCGGCGTCTCCTGCAGTGTGATGGATTCACAATTCTCCCACTCAGTAGGCGTTTCTCCGGCGAGGCTTTCCCACTGGAATCGTTCGTTTGCAGAAGCCAACCTACAGGGACAGACACAGGAGAGTCAGCAACTCTACCAAGTGAGCAATATTTCTTACACCGTACACTGTGCAAATATGTACGAGTCTTCTTCATAAGTGCCGAAAGTGACAGTATCTATGGATTTATCAAAGATGCATTCATGACTGGATGAGTGCAGAAGCAGAAACATTCTTCGAACATGAAAACTGAACACAAATACAGTATTTAAATTTCAATGTCACTTGTAATACCATCAAATCTGTGGACCAAGGCATAATCATTAAACATGTTCTATCAACTGCTGGATAAAGGATAACCATACCATCACCATCTGTCATGGTCTCAAAGTCCCACAATCCATATCTTTCCTGCACATGAGCTGATCTCATTACTTACTCCATATCTGCCGTGGTTATCCTCTTCCGATGTGATCCTTCACTTCACTCCCATTCTGTCATTATTCGTGATCACTGTCATTATTCCAACCTGCGACAAGGCCTGCCTAGGTCCACTTACTTTTCTTAGCAAACAATATAATTCTTATTCGTTCCCTGGTCCAGATGTTCTTCTTTCAGTTTCTCAGTATATATCCCATCATGTACCTTCCCATGCTTCTGTAATGTGCACTGGTTGAACACCTTCTTCGCTCGGGACAATAGTATGTTAGAATTATGGAGACGATTCAAAGCGGGTGATTTTGCAGCCGGTGCGTCGTAACTTTGCTGGCTCCGATGAGTCTGCGAGCGGACGCGAGGTTGGCACCTTTGTGGGTTCAGCGTGGGCGTGCATCAGAGGTCGCAAACGGGTTTTGATTCCTTACCCGTACCCGTACCCGGCCGCACCAGGGTCGCAAATGAGTACCCGTACCCGGCCGGGTACGGGTACCTGTTCCCTACCCGTACCCGTACCCTACCCGAAATGAGTGACAAACGGTTACTCACCAGTGACTCACGGCCTACCCGTACCCGTACCCGGCCGCACCAGGGTCGCAAACGGCTACCCGTACCCGTACCCGGCCGAGTACAGGTAGCAGGGTATAGGGTAGGATACGGGTATCGGGTACCCGGTTGCGACCTCTGGCGTGCACCTTGCGCTCTGTATGACGTGTGACAGGTGGTGCTGCGAGCTGCGAGCGTACCTTCCAGAGAACGAACGTGATGGCGCTGAGCACGAGCACCCCTGCCAGAGAGCTGAGCACAACGCTCCACGTCACAACGTCGACCGCTTCTCGCAGCTCGTACTTGGCGTCCGCGGTGACCTGCAGAACCAACCAAGTCCACGCGAATGTCCAACCAAGGAGGGTCATTTACCTCTAAGTGGTGCGCATCATCAAGTGCTCTGCTTAAGCATTCAAGCACTGACTTACTCCAATTGCAGGAATGCTCCTTAAAGTATTTTCCTTTTCAAAATCGTTAAATCTTTGTTTCTGTAAATTAATGATCGAGTTGCACACAGACAATGCAAACATTACTAATTATGGGGGTGTTTGAATAACTACAGAAAGAGATGAAAGTCCATTTTTAGATAACAGCGAGTGCCAACAGGACAAACAGATGACTTTTTCCTGCTAAGAAGCAGATTGAATGTGTGTAACCTTTTTTTTTCACCAGTAAATGACATAAACCCATTGAGACATATGAAACAACATTGCCTCTTCTGAAAAAGTTACCCTCATTCTTTTGGTTGGTCCTTAACCCAAGACTGTACCAAGACCGTCAAACAATCTTCCACCTTAAGTTTCATTAGGCGGTTTTGCAAAGATAGAAACTTGAAGTGGTTAGTTCTGGGATCTACGTTGGGTGTGTCAGAACATTAAATCCAAACTTGTCCCACAATACCCTGATGGTGAGTATGTAGAGTTGCCTTGAGTTAAAGCATTATCAAATGGCCCACCACTCCTCCTCTCATCATCGTAAGCGTGCTCACATCCTCATTGCAGCTGTTCCACTCGTTTCTAAATGTTCTGCGGGTTCATTATTAGGTCAATTTGAATTGTCTTTGCGATCTCAGGGAACATTATACGTTGTTTTATCATGTAGAGTTGCGAAAGGTTGCGACCATATTCACCACATATATGTAAGTACATTTATAAACGCGCAACTCCTATAATCACGAGTGTGCAATAATCGTACATTGTAGCAAGAGTCAATGAACGGCATATTGTACGCAGCTGCCGTAGTTAGTAATAACACCTGCCCGCCAGCTAAAAATGGGACTGTATAAACAATAGTTCACATGAGTACCACGGTCATGCCCCATTCACTGCAGGTCTAAGAAAATAAAAAATACATAGATAATATCATTATTAAAAGTTTCTCTACTTCTTAAAATAACTTTGTAAATGTTTTGCTAGTAGGTGTTTTGGATTTTCTATAACAATCAGGCTAGATTTTCTTAAGTTTCTCTATGCTAATCAGTGTAATATATTGCAAAACCTAAAATATACTGCTATTATAAATTATACTATCATGGGGGTAGATGTGTGATACAGTGATTAGCACGATTTCTTCTGGGTTCAGGCCTTGTGGGTTTGAAACCAACCTCAGCTCCACAAATACTATCTTAGCCCCCTGATAATAATTTCCTGATAATGTGATATTCTTATTTTGTGGAAAACTGACACCGTTTTCCAATTTGTTTGGAGCAAAGGAGCACACGGCATTGACAGCGAGGTGAGCCGTGCGCTGATCACAGGAAAATTAGGAACATTACCCGCATGAATTTCCAGATTAAACCTATCGACGACACATGTTTGGAGATAGAGTTTCGTTTATGACAATACAACACTTGCCATAACAATTGTCATTGTTGAGTAATGAACGCTAAAACATAGAGTTGGCTGTGTCGGGTGGAGGCGGGTTTTAACGACACATTTATATATTTACGCGATCTAACCCAAAAACCTCTTATGGATGATATTGGTCGCGAAAGCCTACATGGTAAACATAAAGTTGGCAAAGGAAAAATATGTTTACCTTTTTTTAAAATGGGTACTGAACTTTCTAATACAAAAAATACAAGCCGTGCGTTACATTTACATGCACAATGACTAACAGAATTACAGCCTTTTCTACAGAAAAAAACTGGCCTTTGTACCAAAATGTAAATTTGTGCCAGAAATTGAATTATCCATGGGGCAGATGTAATTGTATTTACTTCGTGCTGTGGAAGCACTCATGAGTGATTAGGTTATACATTGTCTGGGCACCATTTGAATGAGGCAGTTTTATTCCGGGGGGGGACGGTATCCTGGCTCCAAAAATGTAGAGACAGCACCTGCCTGGGCTTAGCCGTATATTCTGTCACAACTGCCGATGATGTTTAATTCTGAAATGATGATCTTAAATTAATATAGTTTCAAAACACTTCTCATGAGCATGACAAATTGTGATGTGTGACTCTATCAGAGGAAATCGATTCACAATTTTCCCTCCTCGGAATAATGGTAAAACTGCGTAGGTGTTCGGACATCCAGACGTGCGCACACTCAGAAACACAAGACATATCCCAGCCCGCCCTCCCCCCTTTTTCAGTAGGATGCAAGGGGGAGACTATTAGACCAAGAGTCACGCTGGCTTTAACAGGTGCTCTCCACCACCGTGCATACATGCAATCACGCGCAAACACGCAACGCCGCGCCACCAGGACATTTCGCGGCACTTTATTGCATCGCGGGGTAATTTAGTGCGGAGATTGACGGAGCAAATCCAATTAAGCAGCGCGGAGCGCGCGCGTGCTGACCGTGGTGCGTGCGGGCCCGCCGTCTGGGACGACTCCGTGCAGCGTGACGCTCGCCTCTGCGTCGAGCTGCACCCACGCCGCACGGTCCTGACAGCACGCGCGCACAGGGGGCCATCACGGACAGCCACAGCAGCAGCAGCCGCAGCTGCAGGAGCAGCAGTAGCAGCCGCGGCAGCGGCGGTGGCAGAGGCAGCGGCGGCTCAAGGGACAGGCGCTCAATAACGGCAGAAAGGTTCCCCCCGGCTACGACGGGACCCAGGGGTTGTCACAAACAAAATACTGCCGGACATCGAAACTAATGCCGGGCCCTCTGGGAATGTTTTTTTTTATTATAAATGTTTTGCTGCAAAGTAAATGTTTGCGATTGATGGTCATTAATGATGAAGGTGGCGGGGGGGGTGGAAAAAAAACACCGATAGATTTGGTGTTAGAATTATGATGAGGGTTTGGAGTGAGATTTAGGTTACGGTTAGAGTTAAGGATGGGATTAAAATTACAGTAGGGGGAGGTTCTGTTGTAAAAAAAAAATATCACTCGCTGCCCACGAGGTAGTGAATTTGATTCTCAGTTCGTGGTCAACGCGGCCACCACCCCCCCCCCCCCCCGTGGTCGATTAAAGGGAGACAGCCGTGGTCTCTCTATGGAGAGGCTGAACTTCATCATTCACTGCGTGGAATTTCCATCTCAACTAAATTACTGCATCACTTGATGCAGTAATTTTTGCTGTGACGGTCCCACCTGATGACGGAGACTTGTGTTGCCTCCGAAACGTCGTGATTTATTATTTTATTTCCATTATTACTTTTATTAACTTTTAATTTTATTTTTTACCTACGTGACTTTACCGAAATAACCTAAGAGTATGAATCCTTGCAGTCACGAAAGCTTCTAATCTAGAATTAGATAAAGCCCACTGGGCTATATTTTTAATTAGCGACCTGGCCGCAATTGATAGCTCCACGAAGTGGCTTATCGTGTGTAAATGTACAGAAGCCAAATCTTCTAAACGCATCTTTGCACTCCACAAGCCGACAACCAAATCACCCTGAATGCATTGATGGCCATCAATGATGATGAGTGCTTCCCTGTGTCTAGTTGGTGTTCTGGTTAGAGTTCATTCTTGGACGGAAAAGGAGGGCTAACTGGAAATCAAGGTCTTCCACGAAAACTTCATTTAATGACACGAAACATTCGATGAGGATCTGGCATTATGTTGAGGTATAACACTGTTCAGTTTCCTATCTAAAACAAGGAATTTCAAAGCTGAGCAACTTGTGTTGATATAGAAATAAACGTATTAGCTCACACTTAGGTCTTTCTAAAAAAACGTTGCTTTAGTTTCATAAAGAAAGCTTTAAAAACACGTAAAAAACCTTAAATTAATGGCACTTAAGCTCAACCAAAATAATGGACATTGAAAGTGCTGAAATGAGCCTGGATAACCACAATAAATTCATGTTTATATTGAGTCCATTTCTCACCATTTCCAGCACGCGTGTGTCCAGCAAGGTCCTGATGTCCACATCACGAACGCTCCCCTTGTGCAAGCTGCCGAGCGGGCAGGTGATGTTCACACACCTGGCCATGCCACCGCATGTCTACAAGACAAGTCACGCAGGAGCACACTTTATACAGCACGTACATTTCAAAATCCTTTTCCATTTATTGCGCATCAATCAATCATATTATATTTTATCTATCTATCATTGATATTCAAATTTGCAAAGGAGAACCAGGATAACATAAATTAGGAAAAGTCAATTCAATGTGCCTCCACGTTCAAAAGAGCAAAGGGGCGATGTTCCTCTATGACGGTGGCCATAAGCCATTGGTAGAAATTCTGCCATTCCTAAGCAAACCCACTCTTAACTTGACACGGGACCGCACTCGTTTTATGAACCCTGGAAGGATAACGGGTCAATCAACAAATTTTCATTCTCAAGTTTCCACGTGTGAGTTGCATGCTCTGCCACAGCATCGCCTTCAAAACAATGTGACATGATCTTTAGCATTCCATTACAGCAGGCTGCAGACTCGGACTATTTTTAAAGAGGAGTTTTGTTTGCCCTGGACCACTATTTGATGGTCATTTTACTCACCACTTTCAGGTGCTTTGAATTGATGATGTTGAACAAGTTTTGAAAAAATCCAGGGTTGCTTTTCACATCCGGGCGGTGACAATTTTCAGCTGAACCGTCAATTACACAATCGGCTGCCTGGCCTCCTACCTGCAAAGAGAAAGCACAGGTTGTTTACTTAGAATAAAACACTTGGATCCGAGGTATTTTATTTTTAACACTGAAACAGTCGTTTTCCACTCCACAAGCCGACAACCAAATCACCACGAATGCACGCGATTGGATCGTTGCTCAGACGCTATGCATGGCTAACCCTGGTTAGCGACTGGATGGGAGGCTGCCTGAGAATGACAGAGGTGTTGTCGGCTTGGGCTGTGAGGTGGACAGATAATGGGAGTACAGAAATGGATCCTTGCATCTCTCTGTTAGAAGCTTTGTGTGTTACCCCCATTGTATGTTTGTGTGTGTGTTACTCCTCTTTTACTAGAACTGTGCAGTATTGATTATCGAGTGGTTAGTATTGTAGGAGGAAACTGGATAGTATTAGTATGACTTACTACTCGTTAGCGATCGCTCCCAGATATGTCTTTCTAGTTCTAAGCAAGACTTTTTGTTCTGCTTAGTAAATTATACTATGTAACACGATTTTTTCCCTGGATAGTAAGTGTTCTTTTTTCATTGGTTATGCCTAAAAAGTTAAAAAAATGGCTATTATTCCCCACAAACTGTGCTTTTGTGACCAGGATTTTATATGAAGCAATGACACAAATGCACACGTTTTCTCATTGAAAATAGGTACATTTAAAAATATCACTGTCCTGGTCACAAAAGCCAAGTTTGTGGATAATAATAGCCATTTTCTGTAATTTTGAGGCATAAACAATGAGGAAATAACACTTACTACCCAGGAATAATTTATTTTTGTTACACAGTGTTATTATTGTAATGACACAAGTTTCTAGGAATGTTTATTTAAAAAGTTTAAAGTTCCACAACAAAAACACGACATTTAAAACAGGTCTCATCAACTATACAACAAGCTTCACTGACACGTGATGTTGGTTGATTTTAATGAACGATTGTGTCACGTGGAGGAAGATATCGGTATTAAAGTGGCAGTGTAATATATAACTCCACTGTACTCTGATATTATTTTTATAAATAGATATGCCATGCAAATGCATTTCACATAAGTAAATGCCACCCTCCATGTTTACCTTGTTGAAACAAATGTCTTGGGAAATCTTCCCATGGACGGCTCTCAGTCCACAAAATTGTCTATTTCCCCTTCTTTTCAACAATGAAGCTATTTTTACCATAATATATAAATGTCAAGAGACAGTTCAGCACACCCATCAGTGAATGTTAAGAGTAGATAAACATTCTCATTTGCATCGAATTAAACAGGTTATATATTATCCCAAGAGCATATTCGCCAGCGATAATTCTTTCTCCTTATCAAATTAGCTTATCTGCAAGATTTTACAAGAGCACATATTTTAATATTAAATGAGTGTGATATTAATCCCTTCACCTTTAATCCCCAAGAAATGAAACATTTATTAAATAATTGTGAGAATGACTTGCGCTAATTTTGCGCAGTCAATGCCTTTAACCCGCAGCTCTGACACGTGTATGGCCCGTCCAGAAAGGGAACACAATCACGCGAACGCTGCCTCTCCATTATTCATTCACTTATACATCCCAGTGGCTCTGGTACCCTTCGCAAGTGTGCATGTAAATGTAAATGTAAATCAGTGAGAATATTAACGGGGCCAACGATGGCATGCATTGCACAAGTTATAATAACGTGTTGTTGCTACATTTTTTTGTGAAGTCGAGCTTAAGATCACAACGGGTGACAACAATAATGAGTAGAAATAGCCAAGTATAATGTACATTCATTTACCTGCACCTCCGATTCGCACGCTTGGCTACATATGATGCGAAAACAGTTCAACATGAATACATACAAATGGATACTTGTGCATGGGATGTTTGACAATGGTGACTTTTGTCGCATCCAATGCTTCATTCGAGCAATGCATAATCCAATGTAATAATGTCAACAGTGTCGCTTTGTATAGTATAGTACATCATCGCGATACTCTTTATGCATTCACCAGGATATCTCACCCGCCGTTATACAATAATATCCCAGAATAAACCTCAGTCATCCGTGCTATCTGACTGAGAATTGCCCAAAGTAAAGATGCCACCCCGCAATGTATTCCTCACGCCACTGCTGCCAGAAAGGGCCTCTGCTATAGGGCACTTTAGAGAGTAACCCAAGAGGCTATATTGGCCCATTCGTCCATGCTGGCTCGGCGATTTTAGCACTCATCGGCAAATGATCGAATCAACAGGTGTTCTTCATATCTAGAGAGGCAAGGCATTTCATATACGTGTATTATTGGGCAGAGGAGAAGGTGAGGGGAAGTGGTGTATTTCGTGTGCACCTTGGTCTCCAGTACAGAGAACAGCTTGGGAGTGTTGCTCGACACTTGCCCAGGGATCAGGAGCTGCACCCAGGCCGCACGCACTCTGCTGGGACCCATATTCGTCACCTCACACGGGGGAAAACATCAGTTTGTTGACGATAGTGAAACACCAGCTGGGGCAAACGCAGCCAGGGTCATGGACATAATGAGGATAATATGAACGAGGGATGCGCGAAAATCAGTGAGACTTTTTTTTTTCACCCTATCCGACAGGCTTTGGGGGAGGGGGGAGATGCTGACTTGGTTGAAGTGTGAGAGATGACAAAGAGGAACAAGGGAGAGAGGAGAAGTGGTGGGAAGAAGAGACGTTGATGAAAGTCAAAATAAAAAGTCGATGTCTTCCTGCGCAAGCAATGGCCACTTTAAAATTGAATACACTTGGGTAAAGGCTTGGGAAGATAACATGAAGCGGACAGAATTATAACATTCACTAATAAGAAGGAATGCGCGCATTGATGGACGGTCAGCAGACAGGCGTGTGGATTGGGATACCTGCTATCAGGGTTTAGAGGAAACTCACCTTTATTGAAAAGATGACCGTCTGTTGCAAGCACTCTGAGGTTTGGTCCCCTTTGGCAGCTTTGCCAAAGTAAAATAACGCTGGAGACACCGTTCTACAAACAAACAAACACAAAGTCATGAGATCCACAATGTGTTTGGAATAAATGATGTCGAGTATTTTCATTCGCTAAAAATAAATCTAGAACTTAACTTTGTTTTACCAGGTAAGGTCCACTGAGCTCTATAGTTATCTTTCTGCAGCGACCTGGCCACAAGTGATAGCTCAAGTAAGTGGCTTATCATGGGTCAATGTATCGTAGACAAATACTCTAAACGCACGTTGCTTCTAAATATGGAAGGACAAACCGGAGGACTTGGAGAAAACTCCATGCGACCACGGGAAAAAAACATGTAAACTCCTAATATACAGGTGTCAGGGTCGGGGTAGTTAACATCTCCCACAATTTAGAGAATAGACATTTTGGAATATCCTTATTGTTGGGCATAGCTCATGTTTAATTGCAGCCATACAGCAGTGCTGAAAATTAAATATTCCCATTGCTATGGTCTATCCAAAGCATAACCACTGTTGATATCCAAAATTTATGGTACAAATTTTTTGCATTCATTTTTCAGTTCTTAGGGCATTAGAGTTCTGTGCTAATGGTAAGTGACGTGGATTAGTCGCAGGGCATTTCTTCAAAGGTTATAATTCTTACCCATTGATGATCGCTGTAGCTGCATTGGTGACGTGGACCACAGCCTTCTTGTAGTTGTCCTCTAGGGTGGACTCTGCTTCAGGAGTCTCACTGCGTTCAAAGCAGAACAACCACAGCCCATTAATTGCCACATCTCAGTTTCTTATAAAACAGGACTAGGACGAAAAAAAACCCTTAGATCTCAAGTTGAGCATGGTCAGTAATAGTTAGAAGTCATAATCGACCTGAGTTTCATACCTGACCAAAGCTCACATGAGTCAAGAGCGATTTCTGAATTGGCCCTGGGCCCTTTTCTCACCAGCCGATCACTGGCGAAGTATGGTCAATTAACCTCCATGGACTCTTTTCGATGTAAAGCTTTCGTGACTGCACGGATTCATCTTCTTGGTTCTTTCGGTAAAGTCACGTAGAATAAAACGAATAAAAATAAAACATAATAAAATAAAACGTCGTGAGAATTATTGTATTATGTTTTACTTTTTATTATTTTATTATTTCCCTTCTACGTGACTTTACCGAAAGAACCAAGAAGATGAACTCCATGGACTCGTCCCCTCCCTACGTTTGCCCTCTCACCTTACTCTACTCGCCTCAATGTGCTCTCTGCAGCAGCAAACAAGCGCTGTTGGGAACAGCTCTCAACCATCCTACGCTCAATGGGAAGTCACTAATTCCCTGCTGCTACCCTCGAAGTTTAGTATTCTCACCCCCCAACCATCCGTGCCACCAGCTCCCTGTTACTGTTCAAGTCAGACCTTCTTCTGCCTATAACGGACTGCATGACATCTGTAAAGTGACTACAACCGGACATTACTTCAAAAACGTAAACACAAATCCTGCTTTGTTTCTAGTGTCTTAACATGCACTTGCATGTACATGCTCCATAAATCCAAATTCTATTGATATAATGTGTTAAATATTAGTATTTAAATATAATATGATATATTACGTTTATTTATGCCCTCATTATTCATTCCCGTAGGCAGGAGAGCGGTAAGTATGTTTGTGTGTCACCCTGATGCAGGACAAAAACAATTTATTGTGCCAGATCATTAACCGTCGTACTTTTGCTAATGTAGAGGTGTAATTGTGCATGGCTACGAATGTTGAGGTGTGATTATGCATGGCCACGGATGGCCAACAAACACAAGGGGCGGGGTTACGGCCGTACACAAGGGTGGCGCTAGCACCGACGTCCGCATGTGTATCCCCCACGGGCCCCCCCTCGGGGGCGAGTCCTATAAAAGGTGATGAGCTCGAGGGCTCGAGGTCGGGACTCAGCTTTAACCAGAGAAGACGGAAGACCAGCTAGTGTAGGCCCCAGAGCTCCCCTGGCTCGCTGTCCTTATAAGGGCCGACCAGGGCAAGCCGGTGGCGTGGCCCCGAGAGCCCAGACGAAGCTGGTCTGGTGACTCAGGGAGCCGGGATCCCAGCTTAACCAAGCTGGGACAGATAGCCTCCCCTAGTCCCGTAGTGGAGGAATTGGTATAGGTTAGAGGGGTTAGCTGTCGAGAATCCCTGTAGCCAAGTGACCTGTACAACTGTGTTGGTGTAATAAATAAGTGTGCCTCCGATCCTGTCGTCAAGCCTCCATATATACTTACTACATCTGGGGTCAGAAGTAAACGTCCAACGATGGACACACGAGGGACGACACGTACCAGGGAGTCGGAGATGGAAGACGCCGCGGCCGATTCTCCACCAGTGATGGCCGGGGTCGAATCGGAGCAGCCGGGGCCGAGTACGCCCGCGCCGCTACGACAGGAGGAGGGGGATGCGTCGGCCGAGGGACTCCGGCTGGCCCACTCCCGCCTGGCGGACCTGCTCTACGCCGCGGCCGCCGCGTTGGAGGAGATCACGCGGCTGGGGGCTGGAGGAGCAGCGCGGGTCGACGACGGCAGCCGGCGCGGGGCGACGTTTCCCGCCACCCCGACGCGGCTCGCGGTCAAATTTCCCGCCATCTCTACAGTACGAGCGGAGGGCGGGGCCGGCCCGCGTCACGTGTCTGCTGAGCGCCAAGCACAAGCCGTGACATCATCAACGCCGGCCGGCGCGTCAACATCAGAGCGACCGGCGATGCCATGTGCACGGCCCGCCCACACTGTATCATCGGCGGGGAGCGACGGAGAGCGTTCTGCGGCCACGGACGCCGCCTTACAACAGCGTCTGCCGCCTCTTAAAGAATTTGTCGGCGCTGACGGAGACTGGGGCGGCTTCAAGAGGCGGTTCATCGCTCATCAAGAGATGGCGAACTGGTCGGACGCCGAGGCTCTACGCGCGCTGCCAGCGATGCTGGACAACGACGCCCTGGCTACCCTCACCTCGGCGCCGAGGGAAAAGCGCGCCACTCTACACCTGGCGTTGCAGCTGCTGTCAGCCGTCTATGGGCCGCCTTCGGACTGCAGGCAGCTGTTCCACGATCGGAGTCGGGGCGCCAACGAGTCACCCCTGGCCTTCCGGACGGCTCTCCTGGCTCTGGCAAAGGCTGCTTTCCCAAGGATGGACGAGGAAGGAGTGGATGCCATGGTGGCTGAGAAGCTGCTGCTACTCGCTGACGAGCTGGACGTCAACGTCCTGGCTCAGGACGACGCGGAGATGTCGTCCCTGCTGGTCGCGCGCCACATTCACGGGGGCTTGCGGTCCCTGCGTCGGAAGGCGGCAAAGGGGGCGGCCGGCCATGCCATGGCGACCACCGCCCTCCCATCGGAGGAGGTCTGCGGGGTGGAGCGGCGAGGGGAATGGAGATCGGCGGCACCGCAGGCTCGGAATGGACCGAGCCGCCAGGAGCAGCCCAGGTCATCTGGGGCGCTCACACGCTGCTACAACTGTGGCCTGCAAGGCCACGTTGCGTCTGGATGCCGGGCTCCCCGTCAGCGCGGGGCGACACCTCGTCAGGACGCCACGCCGTCTCCTCCCAAGCTCCAGCAGAGAAATACGGCGAGTCGCGGCACCTCACACGTTTGGCCCACGCACACATCCGACACACACTCACGCGCTCAACTAAACAGGGCTCCAAATTCCCCGTCCGTCGCGCGCGATTGTTCGGTAATGCGGCGAGCGCTCCAACCGGGTCAGTGGTCGGAGCTCGCCCATCGTGTCGTTGCTGCGTCGGCGGGATCATCAGTCGTGGTCGGTCACATTGATGGGGTAGAGGTGCGGATTTTAATTGACACAGGGGCATCGGCGACCATTATATCTGATTTAATTTATAACATCCTTCCCGTTCAAAGTCGTCCCTTGCTCCCTGTTGACGTGCCGTGCTATGCCGCTAACGGAGGCTCTCTGGGCATTATTGGCCAAATCCGCGCCACTATCTGCATTGGGGACATTAAATTATCCGGCCCTGTTTTGGTTTCCTCCTCACTCGCGGTTCCGTGCCTGTTGGGGACGGATTTTCTGGCCAAAATGCCCATCCGTATCCTTATTGACCAAGGGTGCATTGAGCTCCCATCGGGCCGACGCGTTACATTTCTGTCTTCCCCCACCACGGAGCGTCGGGCGTTTGCCACCGTGCAGGCGCTCGTCACAAAAACTGTGCGCGTGCCTCCGGGGGCTCAGATGCTCGTCCCTCTTAGGTTGCGTCGGTCGTTTGATGCAGGGGTTGCGGATCGGGGGGTCTTGTTGGGTCCATCTCGGGCCGGGGTCAATGGACCCGATTTGCTCGCGGCTCAGACTATGGTGAGAGGGGATGGGGACCCCTTCATTGCAGTCCTTAATGTGGAATCGCGAACGGCCGTGGTTCCTCAAGGGACCGTGCTTGCACACGCAACGCCGGTGCCCTATGAGGAACCACTCGTGGGTCAGGTATCCACCGATCCTCCGTCGCGACCGCATTCGGACTCTGATGACGGATGGCTGGATGCGCTTTGCGCGGGTTCAGTGGACCTGTCTGACTCGCAGCGCGCGCAGCTGCGAGTTCTCCTGAGCGAATTTGCTGACGTTTTTAGTCAACACAAATTTGATATTGGTTGTACAAAATTGCTGCGACACCATATTGACACGGGTGACAGCGCGCCGATCCGCCAAAATCCCTTTCGGTTGAGTCCCGCCGAAAAGGATCATGTCAAATCGGCTGTTGATGACATGCTAGCCGCCAATATCATTTCCCCTTCCACCAGCCCGTGGGGCGCGCCGATCGTTTTGGTGAAAAAACACGACGGCTCACTGAGATTTTGTGTTGACTTTCGGCGTCTCAACAAAATCTCTGTGGCAGATGCGTACCCGCTTCCTCGGATGGATGAGTCGCTCGACGCCTTGGCCGGTGCGCGATTCTTTTCCACCCTTGATTTGCTATCTGGATTCTGGCAGCTTCCTCTGGATGACGAATCGAAACCTAAGACTGCTTTTCGTACACCGCAGGGCCTCTTCCAATTTAACCGTTTGCCGATGGGTTTACATTCTGCGCCGGCAACTTTTCAGCGGTTAATGGAATTGGTCTTGGCAGGTTTGCAATGGGATTCGTGTTTGATTTACTTAGACGATGTCATCGTCTTTAGCAAATCCTTCGAGGAACACCTCCAGAGGTTGCGTGCTGTTTTTCTCAAAATGCGGGCTGCCAATTTGAAATTTAAACCACAGAAGTGCCATTTACTCCGCGAATCGGTGCGATATTTGGGTCACATTGTTGGGCGCTCGGGGATATCCACTGATCCCGCCAAAACGGAATGCGTCAGCTCCTGGCCGACTCCCACCTCTGTGGGAGAGGTCAGGAGTTTCATTGGGTTCGCGTCGTATTATCGGCGATTTGTGGCTGACTTCGCTACGATTGCGAAACCATTGCATGCCTTGACGTCCAAGGGAGTCAGGTTTCATTGGGGGCTGGAGGAGGAGGCTGCTTTTCGCGCCCTCAGAAATGCTTTGGTGGGAGCTCCGCCGTTGAATTACCCGGATTTTTCACAACCCTTCTTGCTCGATACTGACGCAAGTAACACGGGCATCGGGGGTGTGCTGTCCCAGCTCATCGGGGGCGTAGAGCATGTGGTGGCTTACGGTAGTCGGGTACTGTCTCCAGCCGAACAGCGGTACTGCGTTACCCGTCGGGAATTATTGGCCATTGTTTATTTCATTCAGCAGTACCGCCCGTATCTGTACGGTCGGCGGTTCACCGTCCGTACAGATCATGCGGCCCTACAGTACGCCCTGCGGGTTCAACAACCATCGGGCCAGTTGTCTCGATGGTTGGAGATCCTCCAAGACTATGACTTTGTCACCACATATCGTAAGGGTGTCCGCCACACGAACGCTGACGCCCTGTCACGATTGCCACCCACTTCGGAGTGCGCGTGCCTGTTGGGTTCGGGGCGTTGTAGGCCCCCGAACGTCACCACCGATTCGGTCCTCGTGGCCGCTACCGATGCACCTTCGGCTTCGGGTCCTATCGAGCAAGAAGGGAGGGATTCGTTGCTGGGGTTGCCGGTCGCGGAATGGGGACGCCTCCAAATGGAGGACACCTCCCTCCTCGCTTTGCGCCGTCGCGTCGGGGGGGCTGGTCAGGGGGTGGAAAACGTTGACTCGTGGGGGTTGTTCCAGGGTCTTTTGATGCACTGGGATGGAAAAACCCGGCGCCAGCGGCTTGTGGTGCCTGCTGCTTTAAGGGGTAAGGTGGTATGGGCTGTTCATGAGCGGCTTCTGCACTTGGGGGTTCACAAGACATTTGCCATGCTCCAGCTGGATTTCTTCTGGCCGGGCATGGAAAAGGACGTGGGGGATCTCTTGGGGTCATGCACGCAATGCGCGCAGAGGAAGCCGCCTGCGAGGGGGTCCAACCCTCCGCTGCAGTCCATAAAAGTTTCCCGGGTTAACGAGCTCGTCGCTCTGGACATACTTGGGCCATTTCCCGCTACGCCCAGGGGCAATAGGTATTTACTAACGGGGGTTGAATACTTCACGAGATGGCCTATGGCCTGGCCCCTGGCGAACCAGTCGGCAGCAGCCATCGCGGAGGCCTTTGTCCAGGGCTATGTCCTCGACAAAGGTGCTCCGGAACGGCTGCTTACTGACCAGGGTAGGAATTTTTCTGGTAAACTCCTACGTGAGGTGTGCGACCTCTTGGGTACGGAGAAGGTTCGGACCTCTCCGTATCACCCACAAACTGACGGGATGGTGGAACGGCTGCATCGGACCATCACGTCCATGCTGTCCCAGCAGGTGTCGGTATCCCAGACGGATTGGGACCTCCGCATAGCCGGTGTGTTGCAGGCCTACAGAATGGCTCCTCATGCGGCCACCGGATTTTCCCCTTTCTTTTTAATGTATGGGCGCGAAGTTAACCCCCCTGTGGCGACCCAGCTGAAGCTCTCGGCGCTCCCGGCGAAGTCTAATTTGTCCGAACACATTAAATTTAACATCGCTAAATTGTCTGAGGCGCGGGAAGCGGCCGTGCAAAATTCTGAACTCCGCCAGAAGGCGAACGAGAGGCTTCGGTTGGGGCGGGTGCAGGTGGTCAAATGGGAACCAGGGGACAGGGCGTGGTTGCACTGTCCTCAGGTGCCGCTGGCAACCTCGTCGAAATTGGTACGGCCGTGGCGGGGGCCAGTGGAGGTCGTGCAGGTTTTGCGGCCGCAATGTGTTCGCGTCAAATGGGGGAGGCGCCGGTGGTATGTGCACCCCTCAAGGTTAAAACCATTTGTCGCGCCGCCCCGTGGTTCACACACACACACGCATGGCCAAACGTGTGAGGGTGTCGCCGACTCCCCGTCGTCGCTGCACTCGCCTAACCTGACGCCAACTGTTCCGTCCCCAGGTGAAACAGGAGTGACGGGTCCACACCCACCAACCCCTCCCGGAGGGGTCGGGGGTCACTCGGCAGCGACGCCTGACTCTCTTGCACCCGGACCGTCAACAACCGTCACTGAGCGTGCCAGGACGGGCCCTTGTGACGGGCCCGCCGCGCGGACGCGCGCCAAAACGCGCAGACTATTGTGAGGTCGGCCGTTGGGGGGCCTTGCGGACAATGGGAGGGGTGGCGTCCGGAGTGTGTGTATATATGTTGGTTTTGGGGTATTTATTCGGGGGGGGTGCGTCGGGTTATTTTTTTTCCTCTCTCTCTCTCTCTCTTCCTGTTGTTGTTCTTGTTAAGGTTCTCTTGTTCTTGTTAAAAATTACGCGAGGCACACACACGGGGTTTTTGTGAGGGATGCACCTTTATTCTGATTTTTTTTTTTTTGCAGCCAGGGACGGCTGCGAGCTGTACAGGGGGGGGTGATGTAGAGGTGTAATTGCGCATGGCTACGAATGTTGAGGTGTGATTATGCATGGCCACGGATGGCCAACAAACACAAGGGGCGGGGTTACGGCCGTACACAAGGGTGGCGCTAGCACCGACGTCCGCATGTGTATCCCCCACGGGCCCCCCCTCGGGGGCGAGTCCTATAAAAGGTGATGAGCTCGAGGGCTCGAGGTCGGGACTCAGCTTTAACCAGAGAAGACGGAAGACCAGCTAGTGTAGGCCCCAGAGCTCCCCTGGCTCGCTGTCCTTATAAGGGCCGATCAGGGCAAGCCGGTGGCGTGGCCCCGAGAGCCCAGACGAAGCTGGTCTGGTGACTCAGGGAGCCGGGATCCCAGCTTAACCAAGCTGGGACAGATAGCCTCCCCTAGTCCCGTAGTGGAGGAATTGGTATAGGTTAGAGGGGTTAGCTGTCGAGAATCCCTGTAGCCAAGTGACCTGTACAACTGTGTTGGTGTAATAAATAAGTGTGCCTCCGATCCTGTCGTCAAGCCTCCATATATACTTACTACACTAATGTCTAATTTATTTTGAAGAGAGAATCATTAAGTTACATTAACAGTATCGTCCATAAATCAACTCCCTTCTACCGATCCTGATAATAGAGAGGACCTGAATATAACACTATTATAAATATCCATGCTTACAATAAAATTAGACACAATGCAATTACCAAGGTATCAATTGTATGTTTGGTAAACAGCTCAAGTTTGGTTCAATTTATCTACTATATAGATGTTGTTGTTGGAGGGGGTCTAATATTCAGTGCAATTACTGTTTGCATAACTTTCACAATGCTCAGTAAACCTGGGTAAGTCCGTGTAATATATAAAAGAGCAAATCGGGAGATTTGTCTGCTTCAGTTCAGTTACAGCTCCCTGGGGCTAAGCTCCAGAAAATATCCTCCCTCGCACCCCGACCCTGCTATATTCTTGGTTCTTTCGGTAAAGTCACGTAGACAGAAATAAAATAAAAGATAAAAAATGTTATTAAAAAACATTTTCAAAAATTAAATTGAAAATAATCAAAGCAAAAAACCACGACGTTTCGATCGCCTGATGAAGACCGCTTGTGTTGCGATCTCTAATTTTATTCTCTTTTATTTTTATTCTATGTTCTATCTACGTGACTTTACCGAAAGAACCAAGCATATGAATTCCTGCAGTCACGAAAGTTTAAAGTCAAAACCCCCCCCATGATGTTGAGAAGATTCGATGGCATGCGGTTCCCCGCTGCTAAATATTCAATGAGAAATAAATCCCTGCCTGCACAACTGTGACGATTCACGCTCATCGACTTAAGAAGAACGGGCTTTATTTACCGTTTCTGGCAATAACACTGACGGTGTTAAGATGTTTAAACACCAAATAGACACGCCCATTGCAAGGCACAAAGTCTGCGTTCACCACACAGACTTGTGGCAAAACATGGAGACCAATATTCTCTGATAATTGAATTTAAAGGTCTCTTAGATGTAACTGTTCAAGCCGAGCTATTAATGCTTCGATATTTCCATTTCCTTTGTACTCTTCGCCTTTTGTTGTTCTCTGGTCTGGTGAGACAAGGCCACACAGAAGACTGTCTCTGGTGTAAGCCAATCCGTTTCAAAGACGATGCATATATTATAATCAGAGCATATTTGTTTGCTTTTTATGCCACAAGCATGTGTGGTTAACGCAGAATTTATGCCTTGCAATCGGTATCTATTTAGTGTTTGAACATCTCAACACCTGCGTTATTTCTACGGCATCATTTTGATACTGGCAAAAGAAGGTCCTGTAGCTCAGTGACTTTAATGTCAATACTAAATTATTCTAGCGTCACATTTGATAGGTCTTCCAGATTTTTCCATAAGGAAATTTTCCACTTTGATACAGGATTCATCAACACCATTCATGCTATCTAATCCAATGCACCACTGAATTCTGCTCATTCTAAAAGAGATCGAGGAATCCACAGCACCACGAGAAAATGTGTGCCGAAGAGGAGACAATCGTCAAAATGCACACTAGTAGGTAAACGGCCTCATCGCTGTCCTGCCTTCAGGCCAGCTCATATCCCAGCAGGTGGGTGTCTCATGTATGGCTTGCATCACCTGTCGGCCGAAAATATCTTCGTCAAATTGTATTAGCAAGGTCACCAATTCAACATCCCGTGGATAGTGCCAGGCTTGCCTCTGAAGTGGTTGGAGCACTTACATTTGTAAGTCTCAGTGATCGTACCATGTAATAGAGGTGGGTGTCTCTCAAGGAATACTCGAAGCAACGCAAATAATCGTGTCTAGGACATTTTAATTGTACATCAATATTTAAAACAACAAATAATTGTTGTAAAAGTTTGAAAATGACGAAGAGCATGGGATTTTATTCTCACCTTTTCACAGTTATATTAAACGGCAACTCTCCCTCATCCCCGGTAAGCATGCTGGTGTCAAACATAATGCCGACTTTCCTCTGCAAAGGAAAATGCACACAAATGCATGGTTAATGTATATAGGGCGAACTTCTTTTTCACAGTACATAGCCACACGTGCTAATCGAACCATTCTGATGAATGCAGATGTGCTTTAATGGTGACGTGCAAGCAGACAAGGTTGTACGAACCGTTGAGTTGTGTTCAATCAACTGGGGTCCTAAGGTGCACACCAGCGACGAAGCTTTAGGTGCACAACTATGAGGCTCATCGCCCTGCGAAATATGGGAGCAAAACAATTCTCAGCTTATATATTTATGGAACAAAAACAGCACTCAACGCAATCATTAATAACACCGTGGCCTAAAAATGAAACGTATACAATCGGTACCGTTTTGGGTAATGGCTCTTCTCCATGATACACATGAATGGGCCACAGGACAATACGAGTTGGAGATTGCACTTGACACTAAAGGTGCCCGATGAGAATTAACATTTTCAAAATAATTTCTGATTACATACTCTTTGGTTTTTTCGGTAAAGTCACGTAGGTTAAAAAGAAAACAAATAAATTAAATCACGACGTTTCGGAGACAACACAAGCCTCCGTCTGCAGGTGGAACCGTCACAGCAAAATTACTGTATCACGTGAAGAGACCTCTAAGAGACACGACCTTATATACTGATTTCTGATTACCAATTTTCAGTCGATAGCTATCAGCAGCATGAGTGTGTATCTTACAAGCACCGGAGTTGGACCCTGCGTGTGTTTGCTCTGCTCGTGGCGCTCCGTTCTCCATGCCGCTAAATGTGGGTGGCACCATGATCGTTGAAGCTAAAGAAAAACTATCCTCACGATGGCACTGGAACACATTCCTGCGGAGGGAGCTGGTAGGAACGTTGGGTTGCTCGGTCAATGGCCAGGGTCAACGGCGGCGTGATGTATTCCGCAAATATGCCCGACTGTGAGGGCGGGCACAAGCCGGCGTGAGTAGGTTAAACGTTGAGTTTTATAAGGGCATCACGGGGTGACCAGCCACTCCCCACCCAGCTCCACGCCTTCTACCCCCCACCCAGCTCCACCCTCCGCAACCCAGCCCCTCCCCACCCTCCCCACCCAGCCCCTCCCCAACCTCCCCACCCAGCCCCTCCCCTCCCCAACCTCCCCTCCCCACCCTCACCTCCCCACCCAGCCCCTCCCTCCCCACCCAGCCCCTCCCTGCACGACGGACACAACAATCCCCTGTGGGCTGGTGTAACCAGGAGATTCCTACCAGTATAACCGGACGTGTCCTCTCTTCCTGCTAAGATAGCAAGGCAAAACCCTCATATCCTGAAAAAGTGACCCCCATTTTCTGAAGTTAGACCTCATAACGTCGCATTCTTTATCGAACGTATAATAGGATATGAACTTGTGACATGGAGTGGTTTACTTTGGTGCTGACAAATGACTTTGATGCTTAAACTACTCAATCATAGTGAAAGGGGAAACAGAGTATAAGTCAGACTCTATGAGATATACTGTGCTATGATACAGTTATTAGTGGAGTATGAAGACCCATCAGTGTTAACATTTCTCCAATACTCCCCGAAAGATGCAAGACGGTCGATTAATTAGCTGAGCACCTCGTGCCTGCGGTGACAAGTGCTGCTTGCACCTCAGCACGATGCATTTGCACAACTGCTGTGCATTTGCACAACCGTTCACACGCAGACCAGAAACATCATCACCAGCAGCAAACAACTCGAGATAAACTGCACTTCGGTACGACGAGAAATCACTGCTTACAAACCAATAGCTGATGTTATATTTATAAAGGCAAGACTCATTAAACTACGGTATATCGCCGGGACTATCAAATCATGCACTGAACTATATGGACCCAGTGGCAGGCGTTTGATTCCCAACAGTGATTCACATCAGTGGTGCATGACATCTGAATTTATCAAAGTGGTAAAGTATGGTCAAACAATCCCCATGGCCAATGGTGCGTATGATGAGACTTTCATCCAGCAGTGAATTTACAAAAGGAACTGTGAGCTACGAGTTTAAATCGTTTTGAGCATTTACTATACAGCATATTGCCGCAACTCAATACTGAGTGCATTTTCTTGAATGACTCTCTCATCCGTGATATCGGAATATCAAGTATCATGCCTTGTCAAGAACACAGTGGAGCCAAAATTCGTCCAACATTTGTGTTTTAATAAGGTAAATGTACGAGGATACTTTGGCCCAGAAGCACCAGGCCAATGGTTTAAATGCTACATAAAAAAAATCACTACCCATTCTACAAAAAAAATCAGGTTATTAGTCTACATGGTGTTGTATGCTTGGGGAAGATCATGCATCCCCCTCTCCAATGCAGCAGAGCTCATGCTGGTGCTAGGGGGCACTGCAGAGAAGGGCTATGGAAATCGACTTCAGACTGAGGTCCGTTTTAAACCTGTGGACATTAAAGAACACATGTAACTCGTTGCTACACTGCAAATTAGTTACTGCACATAATATCCAAATTGGAGGGTGAAAAAATAATCTTGCAAATTTGTTAAAAACCAATGTGTTCCCTGTGGGAGCTTAATGTCCCTGTAAATGAGGTATATTCATCTCAATGGATCTATCCAGAATTAGTCTCCAAATAAAAAGATTACATTTAATTGCTGTCAGTAAATCAATGCACGTTGTCCTGACAGGGCTGCTTAGATTGAAAACACCTCCGGTTTTGCACGTAACGCTATTTACGGTGTGAAAGAAGTTCAACATACATACGTACAAAGCGTACACGTGTGGGCAGACCTGTACGAGAGCCTTGATGTAGTGCAGCGGCCGTGGGAAAGCCACAGAGAGGGAGGGGCCGTGTGCAGTGTCTCCGCGGTTGTGTACGCGAACGTGCATCAGCAGTGTGCGTGTGTATCCAGCCACCACGTTGTTCCCAGGATGCTCGGAGCTACACAGAATGACAGCACAAAGACGAAGATTCTGTACGGTGCGAAAGGCGTTCAACACATATCGTACACACAAAGATCCCCCGTGTAGCCTGAACAGACTGTTGGGGCAAGTGCTGTTAATGAGCAACTAGAAGCGGCACACGAGGAGGTGGGTGGCCTGCACCGCACCCGGCAGCATTTGTCTCCCAAAGGCGGCCGGGCACCGTAAAGCATTTAATCAAGGTAATTATTGCATATGTCCTGCTATGACCTGCTATGACATATGGATCACGAATGCCACGTAGACATAAAATGAAAGCCCATATGTTTCGCAGGAAGCGTGGAGTAGTGCACGCCTGGAATTCGACCGAGTGACGGGAAGAGGAACACATGGATTCGAGATCTTCTTAAGTAACGTGGCCTTGGGCAGGACACGTCGTCTGGAAGGGATTATGACTGGTGGCTGAGCATACTGACAAGAGTGGCAGCCAAAGGAGAGATCACACTCGAGCAGACATCGAACTTAATGCAGCAATACACAAATGGACGAAATTGCATACCCAGAATGAATAAACACCACCTCCACCCAGAGGTCAGGTGTACAGTTTGTGTTCACAGAGTGGCACTGGAGCAAAGTCTGGAACACATTCGCAAAGGAGAAAGCAAATAGTACAAAGCATGCATAAAACAAATCAATCTACGTGGATATCGCGCCATTGTTGAATAACAATTGTGCCGGAGTTATTCATTTTGCCGAGAAAAGTCTCACAGAGTTTTGAGACTATCTTTCAGATGGGTGCAGCTGCTTGGAAGAATTGACTCCGACTGATGCTCCTGCTGTTGTGGAGTGACTCATGCAGCCAGCTATGGCTGCAGAGTTTGGTAATACATGTTGTTTATGTCGTTTATTGTGAAAATTCGGTCACAGTTCCTATGATCACTGTTTCATTGCTTTTATGGCTTTATTTTTGTGATTTTCGAAAAGTTTTTCGGTTTGGCCATGTTTGTTTGTTGTAGTACAGAGTTAGACTGATGGCCTTAATCTAAGTTATCTTGTGGTTATTGTTGTTGTTGTTGTTTGACTTTTTTTTCACACAGTGTTGGTGTACGGTGCTTTTTCTGCAATAATTTGCTGTCTATTTTCTTGGATTTTCTGTTTGCACATATTCACTTTAAAATGTTTTCTTGTTCATGTTTTGTTTGTTTGTTGCGGTTGCACCCGATTCAAGAGCCGAATGGCTCACAGGGCTATACCTAATAAATTAACTTGAACTTGAGTGTGTGGTGCGGAAACCGCAAGGGCCAGAAAAAATATGCCACACAACACCGCCGTCTCCTGGCTACCTCAAAGCTCCACGTCTGCAACACGTGGCACGCCTTGGTGGTCACCCAACCAAGCCCGAACCAGGCCCGAACCTGTTTAGCTTCAAAAGATCCAACGAGATCAGGTGCATTAATGGTGATTTGGTCATAGATAATTGGTAATGTGGTATCCTCCACCACATCTATCGTGACAGTATTACTTTCTACCACTGGCGCTTAAGCAACAAATATATCTAGATAGGTCACCACTCTAGAATGTTTGGCTCCAGTGTTTTTACGTATACATTTAAATAGGTGTATTATATATATAAAATCTGTTTTTGCAGGGAATACTAGGTTTGTTGTAATGTTTTATAAAAATAAAATACTTTTATGTATGCATACTCTGCTCGTGTAAATCTCAAGGTTATCTGTTAGAATGTGAAGTTGACAAATGCGTGTGAATATATATTGTTGAAATCGATAATTGATGTAATTAAATCAGGACTTTTTCTGAAAAAAAAACATTATTGTATTTATATATATTCAACACAAACCCTACTATTGATAGCGAAGCAAGCTTTCATGTAAAAAAAAAAATCAGTATTACACGTCACTCTGCTTTTATAGAAATGCCTAATTATAACTAAGTTTTAGTCAATATTTATGCCTCAGGGCTCGCATTGCAGTAAATCTACTGTTTACATTCCAGATGGTTTAAGGATGGCATACCCAAAAATGGAACTAATGCTAATTAATACAATTACAAGCACTGCTGAAACTCTTAGCAGATTACTAAAGCCTGCTTGAAATAGGCCCTCCCAAGTTCTCCAGGCAGTGTAGATCACTGAGCATGTGGCACATGAGAGGACTTTTCTGTGAGTTGAGAGTGTTACTTGGCTCATTCACATACAGGATGACACGGAGCGGTGGGGGGGGGGGGGCGTTAACGAGTGTGGACTCTCGGAGGCGCGTGGTGTCTCTGCTGTCTGGCTGACCTGGCTCCAAGCCACGTGTCCCTCTGCTCTTGGCCGCAGCATGGGCTGGAGGGGTGGTGGGTGGACATCACTGGGCCCGGCAGCCACCGCAAGGAGGCCATAGGTCACCTCCACCACCACCGGTTGGAACACATCGACGACTTCCCGCTGGAAAGAAGAAAAATGTTTTAATATGTATGTTGAACTTCTTTCGCACCGTACGTCGCCAACCGTGCGAATCCGAGGTGTGGGGGAAGATAACCGACTAAGGAAGGACAACAAATTAATCACCTAACTTTATGTTTTCCCAAATAAGAATTCTGAAATGATACCCAGGTCCAAAACATATTATTTCCTTCCTCTCACTGGCATCTCGCTGCCCCTTCAGGCGGGTGTTCCACGCGCATGATCTCAGAGCGACCCGCCAGCCCCACCGTTAAAGAACTGACTATAAGCAGGCGCATTGCTGGAACTGTGGCCCCCGGCTCTCAAGGGGAAGATACCCTACGAGCCGGAGTAAGTGTGCAGCACGAGCCAGCCGGCATGGCTTTGCCAATGCTTCATTCCATTCGTGATTGTTTCCTGCTCCAGTAAGACTGTGAAATGTGTTGTACAAACAACGTGTTTCCATACTGTTATACCTTTTATGTGATTAAGAAGAATGCGGTTTATATTTAGAATCCTACTTAATGTTAGGTTAACAAAATAGGCCCGAAGAATGTTTAGAAATGTACAGCATCACAATACGAACAAGAATGGATTACTGGGTATCCAAACAGGGTCAAAGTTAGAATGCAATGCTTTTTTTCTTGTTTTTATTGAACCCAAGTCAAGAGTCATAACAGAGGGCACATGAACGTACAAGTAAGGCTTGTGTGTCTTGTGGTTTTGCTGTCCTGAGTCGTTTTTCGTCCATAAACAGGGGCTTGCTAATCAATGTGTACGAATGCAATGCTTCTTTTAAAAGGGCCAGAATTATACTTAGCCGTCATTACCAGACTGGTTCATGCTAGATTTGAAGTTTTCGTGACTGCAGGAATCCCACACCCTTTGGTTCTTCCGGTAAAGTCACGTCGGTAGAAAATAATAGATCACGACGTTTCGATCGCAACGCAAGCGAACCGTCATCAGGTGAGACAATCACAGCAGCAGTCTCATCAGGTGAGACAACCACAGCAGCAGTCTCATCAGGTGAGACAACCACAGCAGCAGTCTCCCTGCTGTCATTGTCTCACCTGATGCCGATCGCTTGTGTTGCGATCGAAAACGTCGTGATCTATTATTTTCTACCTACGTGACTTTACCGAAAGAACCAAAGAGTATGGGTCATGCTATTTATGCAGCTGGATGAGGGATGATCCTCATGGAGCAGTGGAATGACAAACGGCTGTACATGTAGAATGTCGGTTGTTGACTTACGAATCCCGCGTGCAACAGTCCACATTTTGTGCTCACATGTTATTGATGGCAAACACAAGACAAGGGGCCCGCCTCACCGCCCTGCATGTGTCATCGTAGACTAAATGCCAATGCCCATTTCCCAAAATGTGTGCGGTCGCACGAGAGCGGGTGACAATGCAGCCACGCTCTCGCACTGGTCTGGGTGTGGCTGCGAGATGGATATCTTCAATTCCCCCACCGCGGTGCCACGTGCCATGCAGAAAGCCACGCGTGGCATGTCGGTTATCGTGGGCTGATGTGTGTGTGGGGGGGGCGTGTGTTTTATTTCGTGAAACACAAAACCCCAGAGTTGTGAAGGACTGACCGCGAGCACGCGCGCTCAACTGTGTCAGCGCGTGTGAGTTGGAAAATACTGAGCATCAGATAAAAGGGGACTGGCTCCACACATTTCCAGCCTCATTGGCAATGCCAGAAAAAAAAAAACGTCGTCAGTTCCTTGCACTCGACATGAAGGCCCACTTTGTGCCACAACTACAGATTGACTCTTATTCCCGTACTCGTTATAACCGAAGGGGATATTTCGAATGCTACTGTCAAACAATTTTAATAACTATACGTGTGCATCATTGCATCATGTGCCCAATGGAAACACTAATATTTAATCTGAAACACATACAGGGACTCCTCTACTTACGAACGGGGTTGGTTCCAGTGGTCTGTTCGTACGTCGATTTGCCCGTTAGTCCTACTTTACTCCTGTTGATTCCAAACATGTTGTTCGGCATGTACACTTAACACGGGGAATGGTTTTAAAAGTTGTATAATCTCCTGTAGATGTAGATGCCACTGGTTCTTAGTGGTCTGCTGATGTAGATGCCACCACCGCCATCTATTGCGCGGCAGTTGAACTCTGGGACAGGTTAGTATCTCTGAAAGTTCGTAATTCGAACGTTTGTAAGTAGATGAGTCCCTGTATGTTGCCTTGACAAATGACGCATTTGCTCTGTGCGAGGACATTAAAATAAACAGCGTTGTGAAATAAAACGTTTAGCTTTAATTTTACGATTGTATAATGATTATAATAATACTATAGGGCTGCGGTAATTTAATGTATGCTAAAACTATCAGTGGCGGCCGGTGGGTATGAATATTGGCAGGACACAGAAAGCCCATTAGGAGGCGGTAATATATAAATAGTACTGTCAAATATTAATTTGTTTGAGAACAGGCCAGGGAGAGAGGCTATCGTGTGTCACCGCATTGGCCAGATAAAAACAAATACTGGAAGTGCATTCATGAGAAAAATCCCTACCTGCTGTATTAATTTAAGTCGCCATGCAATGTCCTTCACAGCAAGTCGTCGGGATGCCCAAAAAGCAAGCAACTTGTGTACTCACTCTCATGTGCCTAGGTCAGGGGTCGGCAACCTACGGCTCCGGAGCCGCATGCGGCTCTTTACGGGCTGCTTCTTGACGATGAGTACGTATGTACTCAGATGCATTGCGGCTCTTGAAATACTGAATTTTGTACCGAATTGGAAAGCAATGGCTCTTCTTGTTGTTTTGGTTGCCGACCCCTGGCCTAGGTAGTACTGCACTGGCTTTTATGATAAACCATTTTTGCCACACTCTGTTCAATGCAGTGTACAACATTAAGTAATGTACAAGTTGTTAACTTTAAAATCTGGAAGTTTTGTTTAGCTTTCCTCTAAAATATCCTTTCTTGCTAGTGGGGCCAGGCCAGCCACCACTGATGAAGATGGTCAGCTTAGCTGTTGTGCACTGTACTCTATTATTGCAGTCTCTGCTTGGCTCTCTGGGATGTCGCGACATTTACTCTTTAACACAGGCATTCGCCAACGCAGCACTAACGAAAAGCCAGACCCGAGGAGACCTCTCCCTTGAAACCCACAGCCGAGATATTACACATGGACCTTTTTTTCCCCAAAACCTTATCATACAGCTCAGAGAAAGCAGATGATATCTTTGAAAGATTAACACTTTTTTCGTGATTGTGCGTTGGCAGTGGCGCACAAGCACGCATCACAGAAAAATGAACAACATTTGTCTGTTACACTGCCCTGAAAGGGGAAAAAACAAAAAATGTAATCGGTGATGTTTTGGGCAATGGCCTTTCTTGTATGTATGTTGAACTTCTTTCACACCATACACACCGTATGTAGCCAACCGTGTTAATCGGAGGTGCAAGATATTGGCAAAATCGATAAGGGCAATCATCACATTGCCTCTCTCCGTGCTGGACTCATTCCAGCGCTGCACAGGAGCTGTAAGCACGACACCATTACACTGCACCGCAGTTCAGTACTGCTCGAGGTAAAGCACTGAGCAGCAGTTATTATACACTCTATCGTACGAGTAGACAGTATAACGTGCGACATATGATATGACTAGGGGAGTGAACTCCCAGTGTTCCCTATCTGCAATATGGATCATTTAAATAGCCCACGTACGGAACCTCAAGTAAATGTCCAGGCGTGGTGGTACCGATATCAATTTAATGAGCACTATTTTGTGGAATATCAGTGCGAAAAATTGACCGCTCTTTTAAATGCCTGCTTAAATGTGCCACATTGGAAGCCGTAAAATGTCTTGTTTTGTTGGAATCGGTTATATTGGGTGAGATGTCAACAGGAGTGATGCATTGGCAGTTATTGATCAATTAATGCGGATTCCTAAGCACGTAATACATGCATCGAATTAACGTGTTAGAATCCTACATCTTTAGTATATGTTTATCTTGTATGTAACGGGTTCACATCACTCATGCAGTCACTAGAAGCCCTACCATGTATGACTACAATGTTAACAAAATAATCGTTTCTTGATTTTAAAAAACGGCCTTCAATTATGACAATTCATTGAACTGGTAGGGAGGTGGATCGCTACACCTCTAGACTGCAGCATTGTTGATCATTGTTTTTTTACCCCTTTATCTGGCAACAAAACTGACACCTTTTTTACAAGGAGTCGTATTTGCATAGACCACAATACCTGCAGTCATAATGCAAACAAAAAACATAACTCTGATAATGTATGCACTGTCCTTGAAGTTGATTGGTCCATACTCAAGACAGCTTTCCTTAGAGCCTAGTCTCACATGGTGTTGGACCAGATGACGCCAAAAGGCGCACAACTCAAAGACAATGCACCATCAGAGTATGAGAGCTCGGGGTAAGCATTTACACCATTGGAACCCCATTTGCCAGTAAAAAATATGATAATTGGGTTTTTACCCTTTTATCTGGCAACAAAACTGACACCTTTTTTATTTACAAAAAGTCATGTTTGCATAGACCACAATACCTGCAGTCATAATGCAAAAAAAACACAACTTTGATAATGTATGCACTGTCCTTGAAGTTGATTGGTCCACACCCGAGACAGCTTTTGGCGTCATCTGGTCCAACACCATGTGAGACTAGGCTCTAAGGAAAGCTGTCTCAGGTGTGGACCAATCAACTTCAAGGACAGTGCATACATTATCAGAGTTATGTTTTTTGTTTGCATTATGACTGCAGGTATTGTGCTCTATGCAAACATGACTCCTTGTAAAAAAGGTGTTAGTTTTGTTTGCCAGATAAAAGGGTATAAAAACAATGATCAATTATCATATGTTTTACTGGCAAATGAGGTTCCAATGGTGCAGCATTGTTATTAAAGTATAATCTGGTCCTTGACTCAACAGGGATGAATTGGAACAGCAGGGCACGATGCAGTGTTTGCTGGAGGCAATTGAAGGGATGGAGGGCATTGCATTGAGAATAAACAAGAAGAGACAGTTTCACCCACGTAGAATCGTGTATATAAATTACATGAATGGTGCTTCATTGAGAGTTCTAAACGAAAGCATCTTTCAAGAAAATGATGCAATTTACTCATGGCAAATGTAGTGAATCCCGCAGGCAACGTACCTCCCAGAGATTCATTAGGGCTAGACAGTCTGCAGACATCACCACATGCGAGACGTCAACACATCTCACCCTCATAAGGGCTCATCAGAGAGACTGCCACAAAGAGCCCGGGGTCCTGTTTTTTGCAAGGCGGCCAAAGTTTAAAGCGTAGGGTTCTTGAAAGTTGTAGCAACAAGCAATGGTTATTTAGATGTGACCTATATTACCAATTGGGGAAAGTAGGGAAAAGGATGAGATTGACACATGGATGAAGGGAAATAATTATGCAAATGATAAAAATAATCCTGGCATATATTTATATTAATATAATAAAAAAAACAACTAAAGTGACATTCTTGCTGGCAGTGTACTCATGCAGAAACATCAACCTCTCACAATGTTGATGATCGAGATTGTGGCATTTCTTTACCTGGCAGATCGTATTTTTAACTCAACATTCCAGTGTAGGTTAAACACGTGGTCCTGAAGAGGACAGCTGAGGATAAATACATACCCATGGATATATGATCCGTTATTTGTGAAAGTGCACAGATGTTCCAGATTGGTTTGGAGCACTGGGTATGATTGTGATGGGGGGAGCCTTTGTGCAACGGTGAGTCCACGGCACAGTAAATCCAGTGACATGAATTAAATTCCTCGACACCGCTACCAACAGTAATCTGAATTGGTCTTGGCACCCAACCTTCACCAACTCACACTGGCCAGCATGGTAAATTATGGTAAAACAACAACCCATAAACAACACATTGTGGGATGCGTTCGTATAGCTGAATATTATTTTAAGAATTATTGACATTGCGTGATTAGTATTTGGTATTGAAATAGTAAATATTTTAACGACCATGGCCATCACCATTACTCTAATGATGATGATGTTTCCTTCACGATTGTGATCACCATCACCATGAAATAATCATAAAGAATAATTACAAAAAATAAAAATAATCCATAATTCATTAAATAAATTAAATAAATAACAGTTCACACATTAATTATTCATTGATTCGTCTTGTGCATGCCAATTACTGGCTTTGTGACAGTTTCTCCAAGGGGGACCTTCTTGACGCAGCACAGATGCTTTTTTTTACCTCGGTGAGCGTACAAGGATGGGAATGAAATTAATTAAGGAATTAACTAATATTTCAATTGTGCACCTCTGACTTGCAGTCCACGCATGTTTTTGCAAAATCTACATTAATGGAATCTAAGGGGTGATGGAAATGTTTCTGATTTATTCATCAATCCTGTGGCTTTACACAGATTTGTGTGTGAGTCTTGATTTGACCTCTGAGCTGGAATGATGTAATGGCTCATATTCTACACTTCCATCCCAGTGAGCTAAGTTTAATCCTTGAGCCATTTGCAGTGGTAATGTATATTCAGTATCAGGCCTGGGCCTCTCTTTAGTTGACTGGGCCTAAAAGAAGTGGGCTTCTCTTAGGATGCAGCTGAAATTTAGTACCTGGAACCTGGTGCCTCATTAACATCAAGCGAATTGTGTGCAGTACATGAAGATGATTTAAGTCCATGCTTGGAAATTAAGCTTACCAAGTTCAAGGAGGCATACCTAATGAAGACGTTAAGCTGAGGAATATGAGAGGCAGCAATGTTTTGGGCAGAGACACTCCAAAGACCGCGTCAGATTAAGCCATTGATAGAAAGGTTTTTTTGCAGCTATTGTGTTGTCATTTGCCTAACTCTATGCATGTGTAAAGTAGTCACTTGGCGGGAGACGACCTTGACGGGTAGCACACCTTTTTATTAACACCAAACTGTTACACGGGTGGCAACTGCCACATAACCCACGAGGTTCCCCATGAGCTATACCCACACGGGCTCTCACGCCCCGTAGCTTCTTGGAACCCACCCGGCTGGGTTATTAGTCTCGACTCTGGGCCCACAACCTGGTTCCACACGGACCCCAGGCCCCGGGTCCCACAGCCTCTGAGCCGCACAGGGTCCCGGCCCTTACAAGGACAGCGGGGCTAGGGGTCTCAGGGCCCTATCTCTTCAACTCCGTCTTCGATCTTCAGCTGGTAATAACTCCCCGAGTGCTCTCGCGCGTCCCCCTTTATAGTCCTCCATGCGGACGTCGCTGAGAGCACCCACCCAAGTTGACCAATCACCCAGCGCTCTCTCTACGATCCTGTTTCCCATATCGTGTCTGCGTGCACAACCACGCACCCAGCGCCGCCCCGTGATCCATCACTGTCAGTGTGCGTCAACACGCCCCACACTCGATGTAGCCACGCCCGGCGCGCGCACACCCACGTCCCCACCTTGTCGGCGCGCACCGCCACTACACATGCATGCAAGTATGTTTGTGTTTATGGATACATAACAGTGGCATTGTGAATACTGTGCATCATTAAAAATAGATGCGTACAATTATATTGTGTATGAAGCTATTTCATACGCATGTACTGTATCTATAAAATCATACACACGTAAATAGTTGTTCTATGTATACACTTTAGTATGGACTGGTCTATATAGTTTATAAGGAGTGCATTCACTAACCTTCGAGTAAAATTACGAAAAAAATACTCGCAATTGCAGCTTCTTGGTATGTATCATGACATGCAGCATCTAATTTGCCACATTTATACCTCAGCCTAAATGAGGGAGTGTGATCTTTAGCTCACCTTGATAATCCCTAGGCTCTCTTGGCAATTGTCACCAAGTCGCACAGCCATATGCCTGGATACAAAGCTGGAAGAATTGTTGAGCGATCCCACTGTCATTCGGGACTGGAACCCCAGCTCCCGTCTTCTGATATCAGCAGTGAGGTTGTACTGCAAGCCTGGTGGACCAGCACGCGCAAATAACTCAGGAGGTGTGTGGCGAGATACTGCAGTCTTCTCACCTGAAGTGAACCTGGCGATCCAATGTGAAATTCCAGCCATGAACTCGTGTCTTTTGTTACCCCCCTTTCATCCACACACACACCTACCAGCGTGGTGAAGTATGGTCAAACAACCTCTGTGCGTGAAAGGGCACGAGCACACCCTCATCCAGCAATGGATTGGCGCCAGGTTGATTTTTTTTTCTTTTTTTTTACTTTTTTTGTGATTGTTATTATGTTTTCAACGAGTAGCCACCCCCTGCTGTCGTGGCTTTCATTACATGAAATATCAAGGGATGACTTTTAGCTTTCAAGGAAGATTGTATTGAGCGAAATTAATCATTGGGAGTAATCAACAGAAGTTAAGCACATGCTGGTAAATGTACGCACACACAGAGTCATAAGAGCCCTTGCTCATTTATCTTCATAGACCACGGGGGCAAATGCCATTAGCTAGTACATATCAAGACAGCTGTGGCACATTAGGTGGTGTGTGGCCAGTGTTGATGTTTACATATCGCAACAAAGTGTTCATTTAATGCTGAATCGACCTAAAAGAAGCTAAGGACAGGACATACAGGCCTTGGCACTCATGTGCATCGGGATAGCAGCGATATTCACACAAACCAAAACACTTTTGACAACTCTGCCTTCTCCCATTTTCCCACCAACGACAAATACAAGACAAAGATTCCCCGTATAGCTTAAACGGACATTTGGGGCAAGTGCTACTAGCGAGCATCTATGAAGGTCGACACGGCACACGAGGGGGTGGGTGGCCAGCACCACGCCCGGCCGGCTTTTTCTCCCTAATGGCCCAGGACCGCTTCAGATAATCATCACTGGTGTTGGCCGTGAGCGAGAATCGAACTCGGGTAGCCACGTTCGTCGCGCGGGGTGCTATTCGCTGCGCCACCGCTCCCCTTACACGCATACGCAGGCATATACACCAACAAGTCACCTATTACGCTGGGTAGGTTCCGTCCGGTGACTGTGAAGCACACCCTGATGATGATGCAAGTCACTTGTTGATGAGTGCCTGGACAGACCGAGCTGCTTGCGTTAACGGTGGATGGGAGCGACACGCGGGCTCTCACCGTCACCACCGCCTTAGCTCTGCGGCCACAGAGAGATGTGAAATGTGAGTCACCGCAGGGCAATTAGCACACGTGCTTGCCAGTACTGAACCGCCGTCACACGATACAGCCACATAATGAAACAAAAATGTGTCTCAAGCAATTCGATTGTATGCATGTTAGTGTCCTGGAAATGGGTGACTATTATTTGACTACCTGAACACCACAGCAGCGTCAGAGTTAAAAGCACCAACTGTCACATCTGAAATGACAAAAAAACATCACGTGTTTGAATGTTGTTTTTTTCATGACGCATTTACTCGTTCAAATATATATACGTATGAACCCTTGAGATGAGAACCATATGAATGTACACACGCCATACAAAGTTACCAATGTGTTTTACTCGATGTTGACAACTATTGTGATACCACAAAACCGAGACACATTTACTCAATAAGCTCAGCTAAGCAACTTGTTGTGTCATTGTGTTTGTAATTGTTAAGTGTGTAATGGTTACAAAATCATCATCATCATAAATTCGTTCTGAAACGCCCATCAGTAAAGCGCCCTGGAATCCGAAATATTGAATCATACTGTGGACAACGTGCATCACCTGGGTAACAATTTCTGTCCATGTCCGACTCCTCACCTGGGTAACCATTTCTGTCCATGTCCGACTCCTCACCTGGGTCACCATTTCTGTCCATGTTCGACTCCTCACCTGGGTAACCATTTCTGTCCATGTCCGACTCCTCACCTGGGTAACCATTTCTGTCCATGTCTGACTTCTCACCTGGGTAACCATTTCTGTCCATGTCCGACTCCTCACCTGGGTCACCATTTCTGTCCATGTTCGACTCCTCACCTGGGTAACCATTTCTGTTCTTGTCCGACTCCTCACCTGGGTAACCATTTCTGTCCATGTCCAACTCCTCACCTGGGTCACCATTTCTGTTCTTGTCGACTCCTCACCTGGGTAACCATTTCTGTTCTTGCCCGACTCCTCACCTGGGTAACCATTTCTGTTCTTGTCCGACTCTTCACCTGGGTAACCATTTCTGTTCTTGTCCGACTCCTCATCTGGGTAGCCATTTCTGTTATTGTCCGACTCCTCACCTGGGTCACCATTTATTTCCATGTTCGACTCCTCACCTGGTTAACCATTTCTGTTCTTGTTGACTACTCACCTGGGTAACCATTTCTGTTCTTGTCCGACTCCTCACCTGGGTAACCATTTCTGTCCATGTCCGATTTCTCACCTGGGTAGCCATTTCTGTCCATGTCGATGACTCCTGATATGGAATGTCCGAACATGCTCAGTTCTGCGTTCACTCTTCGACCCAGGATCCTCTTCTCAAAAGCCACGTCATTGCACATTGGTATAAAATAACAAAAACAAATAAGTGAGAAAAAAGTTACATGTAAGTGATATTAAATAATGCATGCGTAAATATACTTATTAATAGGCAGTTACTAACAGACCTTGATCCCATAATCTCCAAGACCGATTGGAAGAAATATGCACGTAGCATCATGTACACCCCTATCTTGTCCAGAGCTTATGCAAGGTCAATTCAGTCATTAAACGAGTGCTTGATGCGGTGTGTAAACATCAGTGTTTGACTGATAAAGGAATCCAGGCATGGTGGTTACCACTCCACCTCCGTGTGAGTTGTGCCAGACTTAATAGGTGCTCACAAACACCTCAAATTGCTTTAACGAAACTATTGGTGGATATGTGGGTGCTCATTTTTAAATCATTTATATTAAGTTCGCTTGCTTGCTTGCGTGCTTGCGTGATTGCTTGCTTGCTTACGACCTTGCAAATCTTTCGCTCGTTTTTTAACCCACTTCCCGTGATCCAATCGAGCTGATATTTTGCACACAGACTCGTTGTGCGAGACAATTAATATTCGTGAAAAAAATTCCAAAATTTTACACTGTTTAGGGAAAACAAATTAAATATTTAATTACCAATTGATTAATACTGGCAGACAATCATCTGACCCATAGGCGGCAGCCATCTCAAGCCAGAGGACGAGAGGACTCTAGCCGCCACGCATATAAAGGATTTATAGTGAAAAACTTTGTTTTTACTTATTAGGACTCGCCCCAAGAATTGAAAGCTAAACAGGTTATCTTTGCCGTCACGTGTGTATGTGTGTGTGGCGGGTGTGGTTAGCGTGCTGCGCTACAAACTCACCGACCCGAGATCAATTCCCGCTCAAGGCCAAGATGGGTGACAATTGATCCTCATGGCGGTACCAAATAACACAAAATGCCCGAGGCAATTAAATATTTTATTTCTGGGACACTATTTTTTCCAGGGGTGTACTTAACTCCGCGACTGGGGTACCAATCAATCCGAAATCAGTGCTCCTCCGCGATGTCGAAACGCAGCGAGGACGATTGCGCTGCAATCCTGAACGCTCGTACGCACCGTAGTGGTGCTGCATCGTGTACAGCTCGTCGAGATGAGTCGATTGCCGCATCGCCGACCATCAACAGACTAAAAATGACTGCATCACGGACATTATGCGAGAACAGGAAGACTATGGTACCCCGGTGTACTGCCTATAAGTTTCAATTATCCAAAACGGTTATGGGCTTTTTCGAGGTCGACTCAGCCTCAAAGGAGTGCCTAGTGGGATATGTTAACATCGCCACTGGGAAGACAAAGGCGGCGGGTGCGGCGCTGGCCACCCACCCCCTAGGGTGCCTCAGAGGTCGCAACCGGGTACCCGATACCTGTACCCTACCCGATACCCGGCTACCCGTACCCGGCCGGGTACGGGTAGCCGTTTGCGACCCTGGTGCGGCCGGGTACGGGTACGGGTAGGCCGTGAGTCACTGGTGAGTAGCCGTTTGTCACTCATTTCGGGTAGGGTACGGGTATGGGTAGGGAACAGGTACCCATTTGCGACCCTGGTGCGGCCGAGTACGGGTACGGGTAAGGAATCAAAACTCGGTTGCGACCTCTGGGGTACCTTCATAGGTGCTCGCTAACAGCACTTGCTTTAACAGTATATTCAAGGCTATATGGAGGATATTTGTATGGACATGGCGGTGTAGTGGTTAACACACTAAACTAAAATATATTCGAGCGATCTGGTTTAGATTTCCGTACATGCATACATCAATGGCAAGTGGTATTGAATTTTCCCTGAGTCAACACAGCTTTAAAGGAGTAGGAATATGTAAACATCGGCATTGGGGAAACAAAAGTCGATTGGCAGAATGATGGCCAAACCACCTGATCCTCATGTACCATAGCAGCCAAAGCAAAAGTAGAGTTATTTTGCATTTGTCTTCTACCAACTATTACAACTATAAACTTTTTTATTTTACCAGGTAAGGCCCACTGAGCTGTATAGCTCCTTTTCAGAAGCGACCTGGCCACAAATTATAGCTCAACGAAGTGGCTATACTCTGCAAAAGCATGTTTATAAATGTGGAGGGGAAACCGGAGGACCCGTAGAAAAAAAATCCACGCGACCACGGTGAGAACATGCAAACTCCAAATATATAGGCGACAGGGCCGGTATCAAACCCACGAGCTGTATCCCAGGCGAGGCACTCGACATATTGCTATCGTGGCACCTGTGTGTGTGTGCGACTTAAAAGGTCCTCGCTATCAGTCTTTGCTTCCAAGTCCCTTCAACTAAATTGGAGATAAATGTCTTTTTTCATCTTCTTGGTTCTTTCGGTAAAGTCACGTAGAAGGGAAGTAATAAAATAATAAAAGTAAAACATAAAAGAACATAAAATAATTATTTTATTTTATTATGTTTTATTTTTATTATTTTATTACTTCCCTTCTACGTGACTTTACCGAAAGAACCAAGAAGATGAATCCCTGCAGTCACGAAAGCTTTAAATCGAAATATAAATGTCTTTGTGTGTGGTTGACTGAGTAGGTTGTGTGGTGGCAAAGTGGTTAACACATTGCTACCTGTGAGAAAGAGTGGGACATTCCAGACGGCCCCCCATTGTAGATATACACAGCACCACGCAGATCATCTTCATGCGGAGCGCCAATTGCCACATCTGGTTCTCAAAGAAAAGAGGCGGATAAGTTTTTTTTTTTTACAAGCAACGAGATGTTCCGATGTAGAGACGTCTGGCGGATTTGTCACTGACCTTCAAATCTATCATCATTTATATCGCCCAGGGCCACAATGACTTGTCCAAAGTGAGCGTTGTATGCATTGGCTCCAGAGAGAAGAGACTTCCGTTCTACCAAATTTCCCTGTGACGCATAAGAAAATCAGTATCTTTATTTAGACTGGAGGAAGGCAATCGGACTGTCATACATTGTTAGAATCGATTAACGCAACGTTACTCACATACACAGCAATGGAAATGTAAAAATCAGAATGCTGCATCACGGTTTCGTTGCATCTGCACAGAACGTATCCCCACTGCGTCGCAGTAACGTAACAATAAGCAGTGTTCATTGCTGATGGCACCATTGGAGCACCAGGTGGACATTCCAAAGTTTGCATTACTTATCGACGGGGCGGGTACCGAACATCGATCATCGATCTCCCCGGTCTCTTGAGCAACAACACAAGCCACGCCAACGGCCCTCTTAAGGGCCAAACTGCTCCGGACGCATTTATCTGCCTTAACCACCTGAGTGTGAAATTTCAGTTTTTGTTCTTTTCCACATCAGCCATACGAAAGAGATTACTTACACACTGCACACACATACACATCAGCGAACACCAGTTGCACAGACATACGGGCAACAGTGGCCATACATTCATGCATCAACATAGCGAAGGTCAAATCGTGAAGACTGCAGCGGCTCATGCTGCCTCTCTCTTCCTCGCTTGGTACAGCTGCTGCCCCCCCCGCCACCCTCCCGTGACCAGCCTCGCACACCTGGCCGACGTTCATGAACACATGCACCCTGCCCTCGTCGCGCGTCTCGCTGTGCTGCGGCGCCCCAACCAGCAGGTCCGCCAGGCCGTCAGCGTCCAGGTCCACGGCGCATGTGGCGGAGCCGAAATACGAGCCGAGCTGCAGACGACAGCACAGGGAATGCCCCACGGTCACCGGCTGCGCGACCGACGCAGAGGCGAGTGGCGCTGATCCGCTAACTCTATCGACTCTCTATTTTGGGACCATTCATCGCTAGCGGGCGGCTGAATGAAATGCATCGATGCGAAGGATGCTCGGGTAAGTTGAGGAACGACAAAAAACGACCGGACTTTTCCATCGGGTTTTGTTTTTTTGTAATACATTTCATTCAGTGACGTTTGCCAAAGCAGGTGTGGGCCCACGTAGACACAATACATACTGAATGAAGCGAGCAATTGGATGCTCGCATCTGCATAAATAATACACAGCTGGCAGAATGTGTTTATGTGATTGTGATTCCACTTTACATTTTAGATGCTGGACTTTGACACTCGCCATGAATGCCAAACTGTTGTCAGTAATATCACAGAATTCCTTAACCCTGTGCATTATTATTATTTGGCCACTTTGGAATTCGAACTGCGAACCCCATGCAAACGGATTTAATGCCAGCGTGCCGACGATCACATAGCTCTCCAACATCCTGCATACTCCAAGGTGTATTCACAACGAGTAAATGACTATGGTTCTTTCGGTAAAGTCACGTCAAAGGGAAAAAATAACATAATAAAAATATAAAACAATAAAAATTCACACGACGTTTCGAGTGCAACACAAGCAATCGTCATCAGGTGTGAAATCCACACACATACATACCTGCTTTCCCGAGGATTGCCATGTTATTTGCAGTTCACCCTCCACTAATGTCAGCAGGTACACCTGGTGTGCAATATAACACAAACGTTTCTTACCAAATTGCATGGCCGTAACGTACATTGCTATTTCCCGCTCATTTGGACAACCCAATGAATCCCAAAAAGTAAAACCAACCATCAATAATCATCAATACAATGAAAATATGCAATACAAAGCAACGACCAACAAATCACAAAACTCCAACTTGTATACAGCATCGCGGATTTGACCATCCGCTTCAAATTTAGTACACTTTGCCGATCGCGCCCCTGTGGTTCGACCATTCGCGGTTGATCGTAAGATTCCTCTGCGCATCGTAACTACACTTCTCACGGTGATGCTGCCGCAGAAGAGCACACGTGCCATCCGGTCTCCATCTTGTCTCCTAAGAGGTCTCAGCTCACGTATTGCCAACCTCCAAGTGAGGTTCTACGCACCATTTTTCTTCCTGTCGTGCACAATACTGTCCACGGATGTGTAAAGCACATTACGTTTTTTTTATTCCATACATTGACCGCTCAACCAAGCGTGGAGTAGTCGTGGGCTAGTGGTGGAAATTCCACATTCCCATGGCAGAGCCCAGTCTCAACATAGAATTACAACTGTTCCTCACGACTGCCTCTTTGTCACAGCGGCTGTTGAAAAGCTGCTGATTAAAGAGTTTCAGGGATCATTATTCTCACTCAATAACCCAGGGCCATGAATGTTGGTTCTTACTTTTCCCACGTTGTCTTGACGCGGAGCTCCAGCTACGACACCCAGGCTCGTTCGATTATAAAAAATCCCAGCTGATACCGAATAGCCTGCATGTTAAAAGTCAACACAACAAAAAAACCAAAAAGTCAACAGAACAATTTAGCATGATTTCAAACACGGTATTTCAATATACATTGCTTGGTGTTTAGGCAATTTGTCGTCAACGTAAAACTGTTTTCCCTTGTTGGGAATGAATTGGTTGCCGTGTGTGGAGAGATGCGCAGTGGATGCGTGACTGCGATGCGTTCAGGCTCACCAAGGTAACTGTCCTTCGTGACGACGGTGTCAGGGGTGGAGAAGTGCGTCAATCCGGAGCTCACGTTGTGCAGCATCACAGTGCCTGCCCAGTTAAAGGATCCAGGACCACCCAGCACCATGAAGTTCTACGACGACACCGTCCAACGAACGTTACAGCAACTGAATGTCAATTGAATACATCTGTGAAGTCAACTAATTGTTACGTCGCATAAAATAGATATTTTTATTTGTTGCAAACTCCACAAACACACAATTGCCTAATCTCATTTGGGGGGGAAGGGGGGGTAGTACCACCTCAGAATCAGAACATGTATTTAGACTGGAGGAATTCGATGATCTATGAAGCGCTTTGTCAACAGATGTCCACCTGTGTGGCCGAGGAGGCAGCCATTCCAGCCTGGCAGGAGGCGTGTTGCCGCATCTCATCGTGGGCGTTGGCTGCACCTGCACGGAGGGTGAAACAACCACATTCACACCACCAAGGCCCTCGTGACCACGTTTCTTTCAAGCTATAGAACCAATCTGGTGATAATTATATATCACGTTTAAAATTCAAAGTGGTTTTCAGCTTAAATTAGTACTGAGCAATGCTCATATCCTGAACCAATGCTAGAAAGAAGGTGCACATTACAATAATGAACAAATTACATCATTATGACGGAGGCAAGTCACAGTGTAAGACAACCACTGTGGCTGCCCGCAAAGTAATACTGATTTTATTTTTAGTAGAGGAGTCAAATCCAGATTTTGAGTCGCAACCATCGAATTTGCACACATTGCTGTGACCACATTGGAATCCAAGGATATATTTTGTGTTTAAATTAACTAAAAGTCCAGTCCAGTTATACCTTCTGGGACAAAGGAAAACACATTCTTCCCCCAAGTTTGTGATTTTCAGGGCCTGGCCACAGACATTATGCCACAGCAACCAGCTTAGGCCACTAGCCAAGGCGACCTGATAAATTATGTTGCTTCGAACTGAACAAGTGTTAGTTCATACACGTTCACTATCACTTGCGTGCTGATGAACTCGGAATTCGTTCCAAATAAAATTCAAATTATAAACATCATATATATAACAAATCATAAATTACTATATACTAGAGTTCAGAACAGCCAAAGACGCGCAGCTTTGTGGCAAGACCCCGTTACATTATTGCTGTGTTACTTTCTGAAATGTCCGTGGGGAAGGTAACGAGCGACCGTACAAATGAAACAATCCCCAGTGCTGGACATATCCAATGTAGATTCATTATTTCATAAACCAAACTGCTCCACAGCCATTTTCCTCGCATGCCCTTGTGCTATTCCATTAATTGTGCTGCATGGTGCATGCCTACACACCCATGGAGCCCTGCCAACCGTCACTCGCATTGCAGGGATATTGAACAATGCAGGCCGTTACCGATACTGCAGGGGCTGGTGTGAGTCACTGCATCGGGCTTCAGGTCAGGAGGAATGAGAAAACAGATGCCGTGAGGAAAGATGTCGTCTGGGTTTACGTTGGCCCGGCGATGGGCACAGGCCTGGGCACCAAAACAACGAAGCATGACGCATCAAGGTTAACAATACAGTTCAGAGAACTCGGAGCATTACGGTGCCTCTATGCATTGAACAAAACGTGTTTTAATTTTAAAACGGGTAACAGAGCTCAAAGGATCCCAGTCCCTCTATATGCATTGTGATTTTATGTGTAAACAGTTATCATAACTCAAAGCATTATGGTACCGCTATTTATTGAGTGCGACGTGATCATGTGATATTTTTTTAAAGTCAGAATGTCACCAATATCAACAGAGCACTGGGCAATATTCATCTTTTAGCAGTCTTGAGTCAGCAGAGGAAATCCACATTCTTGTATTCAAGGGAAGTCTCTCTATAGGACAACCACTGTGGACTTCTCACAAAGTATTACTTCTTTTATTGACCCATAATGGATTTAAGCTGAGTCAGCCCCCGACTGAAATTTTAACTCATAATCTGCTGCTTGTGAGATAACAGCTCTGCCACAGAAATATATACGCTGTGATTACATTATAACCATCATTGTGAGTTCTGCACCATGCAATGTGTTATCTGAGAACAATACATTCAGAATGCAACATTAAACAATATATCTTGTGTGGCACGTGGATTTCTCACAATGTAGTCCTAAAAATATATAAAAATGGTCCAGAAATATATCATCGATTAATGCAGATACCACGGTCTGATAAAATATGATTTTCTTCCAAGATTTTCCTTCATAAATCTATTTTTTGATTTCCAACTTTGAAGAACATTTCCATTGCTTACTTGACTTATTTTCACGGTTAGGTTCTAGAGGTTACAACTCTCATGAAAACCCTTGTGCGGGTGGAGGGGAGGGTGGGGAACAGCAGTGCTACGGCCAACACCCAGTGACAGTTATCCGAACCGGTCCTGGGCCTCCCCTAGGTCGACTCAGCCTCAAATTAGTACCTGATGCAGTGTGTAAATATTGCCACGAGGGAGACAAAGGGTGGCCGGGCGTGGTGCTGGCCAACTACCCCCTCGTGTGCCATGCCAGCCTTGATAAGTGCTCGCTAAAAGCATTTGCCCCAACAGTCTGTTAAGGCTACACGGGGGATCTTTGTCTGGGGGTCCTCAATGCTTGTGCACACTGTTCATAAAGCGCTCACCATGACCTTGCTGTCGCCACCACCAGCCTCCCTCGCCAGTGACACCCCCAGCCACTGGTCTGCACGCGTCTCCCGACATAAGGTCCCACACACATTTCCAGTCCGCTTATCTGTGGAGATGCGGCAAGCGCTATTTCAAACAAAACAAAAAAACACTGTGCTGCATCTTAACGTGGATAATTCCAACGAATTTAAAAAGCACATTTGATGTACAGTACACATAGGAAAGATGCCGCCATAGGGTAATGGTTGGCAATCCGGGGGTCGCCAGTTTGGTTTGATATCCTGGCGCGGCAGTGGAAATAATGAGCGAGTTTTTGGCTTTGCTCATCTACCTGCCTATTTGTTTTGTTTAACTCGGCAGTACAAATGGGTACGGCGCGCTTAGGCGAGCGACAGGTCGCGTGTGGTGGGATAAAGTGTGGGTGTTCACACCTCTTCCAATACGTCTGGTCAGCATGGAAGAGCAGGCCAATGTACCCTAGAGAGATGTTGTCTGTAGCATTTTCTCGTGGAGGCCCTTCTGCCGGCAGTGGGGTGAGCAAGCAATTGTCGGGGCTGCACCTTTAAATATTGTGGGTTTACTCTCCAACACACTGAACTCGTCGCGAATTGGCACTGTTTTATTTACGTGACAAACCTTACTAATTAGCTGTGTCGGGTGGTGGTGGGTTTAACGACACATTTACACGATCTAATCCCAAAAAACCTCTATTATGGATGATATTGGTCACGAAAGTCTACGTGTTAAGGCTTCTTTTAAAAGTTCGTCTCAGTTAAAGTGCCACATTCGCCGTGATCATTGCACGATTACTATCGCTATACTCTGCAAGGGTGCCTATTTTTGGTCTCTGATAATTACGCATGTCTTGAATTGTAGCACATCTTAGACTCAATAGATGTGTTTTTCAGGGCATTCAAACCTATTTCCATTCTGTGTCAGTGTGATGTCGTGACAAATTACATTGCTTATCTGCTCTTTACAACTTTGACTATGATTTAAATGGCTTCCCGTCACTGATGTGATAATTAACAAACTTAGTCTGATGGTAATTATTGTGGAAAAATCTATTTTACCATTTAGGCATCATAAAATTTAATTTAGCGTATAAATGTGATCCACCAAAACTTCATGCTTTCAAAATTATGGAGTAAAGGCAAGTGTCACCAGACCCATAATCCCGCCTCGTACTTAGCTCCATTCTGCAAAAGAGATTTTGCTTATTTACCAATATCCAAGATCGTGGATCTTGAGCGAATTTGTACATCAAAAAACCTCCATCAACCCCTGCTCTGAATCTCGCTTGTTTTATCTGGTGAAAACATGGTGTGGATATTAAAAACACCCAAAAAACAATGCGGGTCGTTTTATTATCTGAGTGGTAAAAAGATTATTGACTGATCCCCCCCCCTCCTCACCCTACCCCATACATACATAAATATGCGTGAGCAGGTACTGTGAAGACTTGTTAACGAGACGCACGCAAGCCAGCCAGGCAGTGAGCATACCTATGGGTAATTCGCTGCAGCTGTACCCTCCTGCGCCGTCCTCGTGGCATTTAAACACGGCCCCAGAGCGTTCAGCGCCTGACTGCGCTTGAGGAGCCCCAATCAACACCCTGGCACAAACAACGCAAGCCGTACAGATTTTCTCCGCTGGCACCTAACGCAACACATGCGCGTGTGTGTGTGTGCATGCACGCGCATAAGCGTCTGCATAAGTCAGTCGTGGAAATGCATAGAATTGCAGTGCTGTGTTTTTCTCTATTCCTTTTTCGATGATAGAATCCTCATATTTATGAATATGTTGATGCATGGGTCACCATCTGGAGACAATTTCGTCCGCTACGTGGTTTATTTCCCATGCCAAGCGTGGTTATGTAATCGGTAAACGAATTTAAATTGCATTTGTAGTTTACTCACTTTAAATTGCCACATACAGGAGTGACACAAACAATATCTGTCGGTGATGTTAAGAAGACAGTTGTACGCATCTTAACCCCTTTATTTTTCAATCACGTATACAAATACCAATGCACGTTTCACTTACCATTTTGTGACATATATATACACATGCTTTGCATATACAATACACTCACTCATTGTGCACGACTCCAGTTTACACACACACATACACACAAACATTTATCCAACTATATTCTTAGGTTTTTTAGGTAAAGTCACGTAGGTAAAAAATTAAAATTAATAAATGTAAAATAAAATGAAAATCACGACGTTTCGGAGGCAACACAAGCTTCCGTCTTCAGGTGGAACCGTCACAGCCCGTCACCTACGTGACTTTACCGAAAAAACCAAAGAATATGAATCCTTGCAGTCACGAAAGCTTCAAATCTAGAATATATCCAACTATTGAGCCGACAATACATCGCACGCAACTCAGTCGCTACATCTCCTGTTAATAGTGCATTACTTAAATCTAGTATATACACGCACATCACAAGTTCAGAAAGAGCATGCACCTACCAAGTGTCATTCTCATAGGCATGCTGCAACACCGAGAATCCAAAGAAAGTGCCCTTGGCTCCCCGGATGAGTGCCGCGCCTGCCACGTCCAGGTTGTACGCCAGCGCACCGGGCAAGGCCGTGCAGGTGACGTGAGCCAGAAGCAGCAGCAGCAGACGGCTGAAGGCACAGAGGCCAGAGGCACGGAGCATGGCACAGCAGCTGCCTGCGTGCTCGTGGTGGCGAATGAAACATGTGCTTTGCACAGGCGATGACTGTACTTAATCAATAATAATAATAAAATAATGAATGGGAACTACTTTAATAATTAATTATTATCATAACTTAGGAGTGAATCATGTGCTTTGCACACGCTATGACTATGTAATTAATTATTATACTAATTAATGAACGTAGGTTATGTATGATTATCCGAATTACGTGGTAGGGAAGCAGACATGTATGTACCGTATGTTGAACTTCTTTCGCACCGTACGGAGGTGCGTAGGACAGCGAGTTTGTGATGCTTTTAGCAAAGTTTTGGGATCTCTAGTGAACCAATGAATGATTATAATTTTAAAGAGAGATTGCACGCCTTTATACTCTATTCACACCCGCGCCTCCCTACAAGTCTCTCTTGTACAACATATGCTGTTGTCTCAAAGTGCTCTCAGCCAGCTACAGGTCAGCCAGGTGAAATTGTGACTTGTTTTTTTTACATTAAATTAACGTGAATTATCTGCCATATTATTCAAATACTACGTGAAGTGATATAAATCAGAGATATAATTAATATTCTGTATATATAAGCTACCATCATAAGAAAAATGGACACTCATTTTTATTGCATACAGGTTATACATTGCTCAAAGGAGCATAAGACCTTGGATGAAATGTTGAATATACCGACAGTAATTTAAATAATTTGTCTACATACACACTCAAGACAACACAGGGATGTGTAGAAATGGCGCGGTGTTAATGAAAAACCATTTACGCGAGAGTACATGGCATAGTTGTCAAAGATGTATGAAAGGAGAAGCATGTTTTCACAAAATTGTTCCCACAAATTGTGGTATTCTCGAGAAAGTGTGGCAGGTGTGTCCACTATTGCACAAATATTCACAGTGTGACTGAAGCCCTGGATCACGCTTAGCCTGAACATTCGGTCACCTGTTGATGTGGTTTGCGGTCAGCAGTCGCTAGACAACTTCGTGTCACGGAGAATGTTCCCCAGAAACTTAAATTGATGTTGACATTGCACAACACATCATTTTCAGTCACTGAAAAGGAACATGGTTAATAGTTGTATGATACAGCTGTACTGTAACAATATGGCAATATTGTATTTCAGTTAATATTTCAATAATACAGTGTTTAATGTAGATAAATGTTTTTTTCATTATTGTATTAGTTTTATTGGCATAACAATTACATTAGTTCAGTATCTTGTATTGCACTGTGCCAAAATAAGTCCTGAATATGATCATAAACGTCAGTTGAATATTTTGAACTTTGGAGATAGCTCTGCAAGTGAAGTGAAAAACAATCCGCAACATAAACAATATCAAGAGGATATTTTGTTATTGTAATTACATTTTGGAAATATGTGATTTCAGTTACAAAAAAAAGTATGTCAATATAATTTTTATTGTGCAATGCTGTATACAAATTGTACAATGTTCTTATTACTTAGGTGACAATTTGAAATGATCGTTTAATTGTAGGGACAACCATTTTAAAGTCATGGTCAAGAACTTGACTTAGTTGACTTAGTTGGTCGTGGGTTCGATCCCGACCCTGACGCCTGTATATTTTGAGTTTGCATGTTCTCCCCTTGATCGCGTGGATTTTTATCCGGGTCCTCCGGTTTTTCCAACCACATTTAGAATCAACATTCGTTTGGAGTATTTGGTTGCTATACGTTTCAACATGACAAGCCACTTCGTTGAGCTACCATTTGTGGCCAGGTCGCTTCTGAAAAAGAGAATATAGCTCAATGGGCCTTACCTTTTCAAATTAAAAGTTGAAGTTGACAAAAAACGTATTGTCATCATGGTTTATCCACTGTTGCTATAAGTCAGCACGTGTTACCTTAGTTACAATGTAAGTCGTTAAAGCTATTACATATATTACATTGTGTATAACTAAACGCAAGAGAGGATATTTATTAGACAATACACATTTATTCAGGTGGGATTCATTTGGAATTGTTACCGATGACAGATTTCCATAAGAATACGAAACATTCATTTTGTATATTTAATCGTTCTATCGTGCAATGCAGTACTTAACATTGGAATATTCTAAATCGCTGATTTAGAATTTTCAACAATTCATTATATATATGTACATATATATGTACTAGAGTCCAACATGATTTTAATTGCACATTTTTTGGCAATGCAAAAAGCATTGGGTATTTACTGAAACTTGGCTGAAAACACTGTGATGGAATAACTGCAGCAAAATATTGTCTCCACTTACAAGAACTCACTCGCGACGATGACGGTCATAATTGCTCGAGCTTGTTGAAAATGTATGTGCTTGCGTTATTTATTTACTTGGAAAACAGCTCCTTTCGTGCGTCGGGGCTGTCACAAGTGTTTGCCGTGGCTTTTCTTGCACGGCGCTTAAATAAATCTGCCACCCTACGAAAATTCATGCTGTGAGCAAGTGCTGTGGCATTACGCAAGGAGAGACGCTGTGACAGATGGTGGGGTGGGGTATGGTGTTTGCCTGTGCCATAGTTACGTGCTTGCTGGGGGGGGGGGGGGCACCGCACCAATTCCCACTCACGTTCTCATTTTTAAAGTCACCTCTGCCCTCCCCGGGGCTGTAAAGTAAATACGGAGTGTGCTGGTGCGCAGCTAATGCATATGTATACTATATATCCTGATTAGCACTGAATATTAAATACATTTTTTCATACACTATTAGAATTAAAGCAACATGTCTCATAAAAGTAAACCATTAGGCATTCTTTATTTGATGTAGGGAGAGAGAGAAGGAGCACACATCATATATTTGGTACATTCAATAATATAATTCCGCTTTTTCAGGTAAGGAATCCTATAGGTTTTAGTGTATATTTTTTCAACACTTGTTATGGTTTCTAATTTTTTTCATGTACCATTGTTTGAAGAAAAAAAAAACACTTTAATGTTCTCCCTAAAATGCAAGGATTGCAGTAGGTGTTTTATTACATGTGTAGTGACATAAGAAGGGAGGGGCTGCTGGGGGCTCTGGGATCCCAGGCGAGTCCAGACGCGTAAGCCTCTGGGCGCCAGGCGCTGGGTTCCCAGGGGGTCCAGACGCTTAAGCCTCTGGGCGCCAGGCGTTGGGTTCCCAGGCGCTTAAGCCTTTTTGGCGCCGCCAACGGGGGGGGGGGGGGGGGGGGGGCTGTGTGTGCTCTGTGGGATGTCTGGTGGCGCACATGGCCCCACCCCTCGTTGGACCAGGCATAAAAGGAGAGCTCCCTGGACGATCAGGGCCCAGTTGTAACTCAAGACCCAAGACCCACGACCAGTCATCTGAAGACCCTGGGATGCTGTGAGAGCCAGCGCTGGGACTCTGGAACTCCCGACTCTACGACCTTGTGAGGGCGAGTTCCGGAGCGTAGCCAGAGTAGAGTATCTAGGCTGTGTAGCTAGGCTGTGTACTTAGGCTGTGACAGAGTATCAGGACTGTTGGAGAGTTGGACTGTTGGAGTGTTGTATTGTAATAAAGAAGTTACCTCTACAAGTGTCTCCGGAACCCGTTACATTTGGCGTCAGAAGTGGCTATGGAGACAAGAAGTAAGCCACGTACCTTCAGTCCTGACGGCGATGTCGAGGAACAAGCAGCGATGGGGCGACCAACGCCGGCCGACAGCGACGCTGCACCGCCGGCTGAACAGTTGTCTGCTCCGCCGACCATCCCCTCTCCAGCGTCGGGAGCAGCGATGGAGGAGGCGCTGCTTCGCCTCACTGAGCTGCTCCACGCCACCGTCTCCATCCTGGACGACATGCGTCGCTCACAGGCGGAGGCAGGAGGGAGAGAGGCGGCGCAGCGGCCGCGCAATTCCGCTGGCTCCCACACAAAGATGGCAGCCGTTCCCGCCGCAAATACATCCGGGTGTGTCGTCACTTCGCCCGGGGGAGCAATGACCGCTGGGAGCGACGTCACTTCCGGGCCCAGCATGTATAGACTGTATGGGGCATTTATTTTGAGATGATGACATGCTGCCAAGGATTTGGAATTGTCAGGATGGCTCTCAAATATCTTGGGATGCAGATCCTGACCAGGATGGCCCAGCGGGTGTTGCGTGTTTAACACGAGAGTTGTGGTCCCGTCATGCTATGGCTGACGGCTTGACCTGACAGCCCGGAGATAGAGACACTCCGTGGCATGTCTAGCCTAGTGGGCTGTGTGCTCACATGGCTCGGAGAGTGTGGTCCCGTCATACTATGGCTGACGGCTTGACCTGACAGCCCGGAGATTGAAACACTCCGTGGCATGTCTAGCCTAGTGGGCTGTGCGCTCACATGGCTCGGAGAGTGTGGTCCCGTCATGGAATCGCTGACGGCTTGACCTGATGGCCCGGAGGTTGAGACCCTCCATGGTGCGTCTGGAGCAGTAGGCTCGCCCTGACGGCCCGAAGATTGAAACACTCCGAGGCACGTTGAAACAGTGGGCTGGAGATTCGTGGTGTTCAGGTGTAGTTGTCCCGTTACGTTGGGACTGTATCCCTCAGTTGTTAGGGTGCATGTTGTGCAGGGAGTGAACGATGGGTCGTCTCAGATCGGTCGGTACAGCTATATGCTGCGATGCGAGTCTTGGAGAGAGATTGGGTCTCAGCTCGGTCGGTACAGCTATATGCTGCGATGCGAGTCTTGGAGAGAGATTGGGTCTCAGCTCGGTCGGTACAGCTAAATGCTGCGATGCGAGTCTTGGAGAGAGATTGGGTCTCAGCTCGGTCGGTACAGCTATATGCATGCGATGCGAGTCTTGGAGAGAGATTGGGTCTCAGCTCGGTCGGTACAGCTATATGCTGCGATGCGAGTCTTGGGGAGAGATTGGGTCTCAGCTCGGTTGGTACAGCTATATGCTGCGATGCGAGTCTTGGAGAGAGACTGGGTTGAAGCCCCCCCGATATGGCCGACGTGCGCGGTTTTAGGATGTAGACGCCACGTTGGAAAGGCGGGGGGTGCTAACGGTTGACATGTAATGT